AAGTCGACCCTCTCAACTTTAACATTTAACTTTAGTAGCTATCCTCCAAATAACGGTCCCAAATTATGGAGGCCAATAAATTACTCCAGCAGGGCCTCAGTCATATGTAAATTGCAGACCTCTTTCTGGCAACTTTACCGGCACCGTTGAGAGTATCCCCAGCACCGCTACGCGCACACGGAGGGGGGCTAAACTAGACGGCTGGGACTAACGAGCAAATAAAATGGAAGAAGCTGCAGGAGATGCGCAAGCTGCTGCAGGTGAGTCCCAGCGTAGCCGCGCGGGGCAAACTCTCAGCGGTGACTTTAACTCAGAGAAGCTTTTTCGCGGTATGGGTGTAGTCGCCGGAAAGAGGTCCGCAATTTAACATATGACTAAGGCCCTGTCAGGGTATTTTCTTAGCCTCGATAATTTGGGACCGTTATTCAGAGGATAGCCAGCTCCATTACTACTTTACTAGTTTATGCTACTACCTGACAGAAGAAGGGTATATTTCTAGCTAATGTGTTTACGCTATCACCTGACAGAAGAAGGGTATATTTCTAGTTAACGTGTTTACGCTATCACCTGACAGAAGAAGGGTATATTTCTAGTTAATGTGTTTACGCTATAACCTGACAGAAGAAGGGTATATTTCTAGTTAATGTGTTTACGCTATAACCTGACAGAAGAAGGAGGGTATATTTCTAGTTAATGTGTTTACACTATAACCTGACAGAAGAAGGGTATATTTCTAGTTAACGTGTTTACGCTATCACCTGACAGAAGAAGGGTATATTTCTAGTTAACGTGTTTACGCTATCACCTGACGGAAGAAGGGTATATTTCTAGTTAACGTGTTTACGCTATCACCTGACAGAAGAAGGGTATATTTCTAGTTAATGTGTTTACGCTATCACCTGACAGAAGAAGGGTATATTTCTAGTTAACGTGTTTACGCTATCACCTGACAGAAGAAGGGTATATTTCTAGTTAATGTGTTTACACTATAACCTGACAGAAGAAGGGTATATTTCTAGTTAACGTGTTTACGCTATCACCTGACAGAAGAAGGGTATATTTCTAGTTAACGTGTTTACGCTATCACCTGACGGAAGAAGGGTATATTTATAGTTAACGTGTTTACGCTTTACTGACGGAAAAAGGGCTATCGTGTTTACACTATCACGGAAGAAGGGTATATTTCTAGTTAACGTGTTTACGCTATCACCTGACAGAAGAAGGGTATATTTCTAGTTAAGTGTTTATGCTATCACCTGACGGAAGAAGGGTATATTTCTAGTTAACGTGTTTAGGCTATCACCTGACAGAAGAAGGGTATATTTCTAGTTAACGTGTTTACGCTATTACCTGACAGAGGAAGGGTATATTTCTAGCTAACGTGTTTACGCTATCACCTGACGGAAGAAGAGTATATTTCTAGTTAACGTGTTTACGCTATCACCTGACGGAAGAAGGGTATATTTCTAGTTAACGTGTTTACGCTATCACCTGACGGAAGAAGGGTATATTTCTAGTTAACGTGTTTACGCTATCACCTGACGGAAGAAGGGTATATTTCTAGTTAACGTGTTTACGCTATCACCTGACGGAAGAAGGGTATATTTCTAGCTAACACCCTATCACCTACGGAAGAAGGGTATATTTCTAGCTAAGGTGTTTATGCTATCACCTGACAGAAAAGGGATTTCCAGTTATTACTAATACTTCTTTACGTGTTTACGCTATCACCTGGCAGAAGGTATAAAAGATCAATTACTACGATACGTGTTTACGTTGACGGAAAAGCTATAACGTGTTTACGCTGTCACCTGACGGAAGAAGGGTCCATTACTACAATACTTGTTTAAGCTATCACATGGCAGAAAAAGATCCATTATTACAATACTTGTTTATGCTATCACCTGGCAGAAAAAGATCAATTACTACGATACTTGTTTAAGCTATCACATGGCAGAAAAAGATCCATTGCTACAATACTTATTTACGCTATCACCAGGCAGAAAGAAGATCCATTACTACGATACTTGTTTACGCTATCACCTGGCAGAAAAAGATCCATTACTTCGATACTTGTTTAAGCTATCACCTGGCAGAAAAAGAACCATTATTACAATACTTGTTTAATCTATCACATGGCAGAAAAAGAACCATTATTACGATACTTGTTTACGCTTTCACCTGGCAGAAAAAGATCCATTACTACAATACTTATTTAAGCTATCACCTAATGAAGTCAGCAGCCATGATTCCAACTAACAATGCACAGCTACTTAAATATTCACAAACATTAGAATCAACAAATATAAACATGGATATAATTTTATTTAACAATTTCAATTTTCCTCTTTAAACACTTCAGTCATTCATTCAATAAATATACCTAACTGTGTTTTTCAGTGCCCACACTTATCTTTAAAATGTCATAGCACTCACAATAAATTCACATACATTTAGCAAAACAGTGATTTTAAAATGTCACATCATTTTAATAAATAGCCACAGAAATTCAAGATGACAACCAAAGTCATGTGACTTTGTTGCACACAAACGTATTTATCAGACAAAGCAATTGATTATAGTGCCTATGAGAACAATTAAAAACTGTTTATTTCAAATGTAAATTAATTTTCCTAAACAATGCAGTCTTTTCAGTTTTTTTTAAACACTCATGGTAATGGGAAACAAACATTCTTTGTATTAAAAAGTAAAAAAAAGTAAAGATCCCTTTTCACGCCTTTCGGCGCATCGGGCATATGGGCACAGCGTCCCATATTTTTACAGACCATCGGCACTCTGTGGGTAATGTGGTCAGCATTACGCCGGCTGTCTTTACTTTCCCAGGACAGCCCATCCTGGTACCCATTTTAGGTTGGGTCGACCTGCGACGTCCCATACCACGACAAAAATCCATGCAGCCTGCAGTGGGTTTCGATCGCGGTATGCTGGCTCACGAGTCGGACTCGCAACGCCTTGGCCACGGACGCCGCATTCTTTGTATTGCTGATGAGTAAAGTATTAATGGGAAGTGTAGTGTGCTTGAATCTGAAAGGGGTCCATGGTTCAATCCCGAGAAGTGGCAGGATTCACCCGACCCCCCCTCCCCCCACCTCTTGCCCCCTTCAGTACGGCTATGGGTTCAACCCAGCCTTTACAAAATGGGTACTAGACATTCAAAATGTTTTAGGCCAGGGCTATTCAGCTGGCAGCCTCTGTTGGCCAAATCTGGACCAGTTGTATCGTATTAATAACTTTTCTATGCTGAGACTTTGGCTTCTGGCCCATGACTATCCCCATTTCTAACTTTAGAGCCCCTGAGTAAACTCAGCTGAACAGCCCTGTTCTAGACATTGTCTGACGAGGAAGGGAAGTGGGCATCCCATCAAATGCACTGTGGCCTACAATATGTGAATGGCTAACACTTCACATTCCAGCAGCAGGAACAGGACTACATTCATGTAAACACAGACCCTGACCTGTTCCAAACATGTTGTTCATCGTCATAGCACGTGCACCAAATGATGATGATTATCCAGGGTTGATGAGAGAAACTAACACACAAAAATGAATGTTTTTTAAACCGCTCACAGACAGCTAAACTGGCCATCCCAAATAATGCACTTTAAAATCCAAATGTAGCACAGAATTTCTCTGATTTGTACAGGCCATATTGAAAAAGAGAGTTTTTATTGAAGACAAGTTTCATCAATTATCTGGACGGAATGGTAGAATGTCAACAAATATCACAGACACTGAAATACATTTCAACAGCCACTCAGTTAAGGAGGAGGATATTTGCAAGTGCATGTATGTGTGTGCAAAAGTCTGAATGTGTGTGCAAGTGAATGTATGTGTGTGCAAGGATATGAATGAATGTGCAGGCAAATGCACATGATGCAACAACTGCACTTATCTAAGACAAAGAGGCCACAGTCAGTTAACCTCATTCTGTACAGAGCATTTTTGAGGAAAACACTCACAAACGTAGAGAAGCATTTCTACCACTGCCAGCCAGAAAGGCACTTGATGATACTATAAAAGACAACTTACAAAACTTTGGTGCTTAACTGGATGGAAGGTATTTTTTAAACAAATGAGGACTGTGGAATAAAGTGGACTGAATACATACAGGACTCTACAATGGTGGAATAAAGTGGATAAAATATAATCAGGACTCTACAATGGTGGAATAAAGGGGATAGAATACATACAGGACTCTGCAATGGTGGAATAAAGGGTATAGAATACATACAGGACTCTATAATGGTGGAATAAAGTCGATAGAATACATACAGGACTCTACAATGGTGGAATAAAGTGGATAGAATACAAACAGGACTCTACAATGGTGGAATAAAGTGGATACAATATAATCAGGACTCTACAATGGTGGAATAAAGGGGATAGAATACATACAGGACTCTATAATGGTGGAATAAAGTGGATAGAATACAATCAGGACTCTACAATGGTGGAATAAAGGGGATAGAATACATACAGGACTCTACAATGGTGGAATAAAGGGTATAGAATACATACAGGACTCTATAATGGTGGGATAAAGTGGATAGAATACAAACAGGACTACAATGGTGGAATAAAGTGGATAGAATACATACAGGACTCTACAATGGTGGAATAAATTGGATAGAATACAAACAGGACTCTACAATGGTGGAATAAAGGGTATAGAATACATACAGGACTCTATAATGGTGGAATAAAGGGGATAGAATACAAACAGGACTCTACAATGGTGGAATAAAGGGTATAGAATACATACAGGACTCTATAATGGTGGAATAAAATGGATAGAATACATACAGGACTCTACAATGGTGGAAAAGATAACTAGAACAAATAAATACAAGACCTATATGATGATCATTATGACGACGATGGAATTGATAACTTGAATCAAACAACAACTGTACAATGATGACCATGATGATGGGGGAAACAATTGAAATATTCTAGACAATGGTCTTCTATAAGATCTTCTATGTTTTAATGCCACGACTTCCACCACTGACTGCAGTGCTGCTGCTGCCTCCACCAGAAGGTCTCTCTCGTTCCTTCTGATACTCCATCTCAACCTTGCTGTTGATACTGGCCCAGTCTATTTCAACCTGCAGGAATATTAGTTTCAGCTGATTATTAACCTCATGCAGTTTCCTTAAATAAAGCATTAAATATGCAACTATCAAGGGTCACAATATTCTTATGAAAAATGACTGTGTGCAGGGATTCACAGTGACAAGGCCCGCCACACACTGATGGCTTCACTGACACCATCTCTTCCCATTTCTTTATCACATTCTTTAATACTCCCCTCTGGTCTTGCTTATCTTTCTTTGTCCCTGTTGGCAGCAATGCAAGAATATTCTAATTAAATTATTAGGTTTTCTTAATGTGTGTCCAATCCAATGCCAGAATCTCTTTCTCACATCTTGATTTACCATTAATTGTGGTTCTCTCTAAAAGCTTCATATCAAGTGATCTGCACCATGTAATTCCCTCTGCTCTAACCTGGCACCAGTTATTGTGTGTTTTAGAAACACATCATTTCAGCCAAAAATCAGATTTTAAAACTTGACAACTAGATTATATCTAAAAAGACAAACTCTGCAATGGCAGCAGGGGGTGGTAGTTATGGCATTAAACTGCACAGGAAGTTTCTAGTCCCCACACAACTAACTTGCCTCATGACCTTGACCATCATCTCATTTGGTCTGCAGCTGCTTATTTTTCATTTTTCTTGCACTCACTAGCTGTAAACTCCAGCAGAAAGTTCTGACTGGACTTAAGTCATCTTCTGGAACCTGAGTTTTGTGTGCATATCCATTTACAGATTGCTGGTTTCTCACCTCTCAGGCTGATGTACTACAACTTGGAAGGAAACACCCCTAATTACTCCAACTTGGAAAGAAACACCCCTAATTACTCAAACTTGGAAGGAAACACCCCTAATTACTTCAACTTGGAAGGAAACACCCCTAATTACTCCAACTTGGAAGGAAACACCCCTAATTACTCCAACTTGGAAGGAAACACCCCTAATTACTCCAGCTTGGAAGGAAACACCCCTAATTACTCCAACTTGGAAGGAAACACCCCTAATTACTCCAATTTGGAAGGAAACACCCCTAATTACTCCAACTTGGAAGGAAACACCCCTAATTACTCCAACCTGGAAGGAAACACCCCTAATTACTTCAACTTGGAAGGAAACACCCCTAATTACTCCAACTTGGAAGGAAACACCCCTAATTACTCCGACTTGGAAGGAAACACCCCTAATTACTCCAACTTGGAAGGAAACACCCCTAATTACTCCAACTTGGAAGGAAACACCCCTAATTACTCCAACTTTGAAGGAAACAGTCATAATTACTCCAACTTGGAAGGAAACACCCCTAATTACTCCGACTTGGAAGGAAACACCCCTAATTACTCCAGCTTGGAAGAAAACAGTCTTAATTAGTTGAAGTTTCAATAAGATGCTTGTTAGAGGGCAGTTGGTCTAGTTCATCCACCCCCCCCCCCTTTCTCCAACACAATAAGGCTCCAACACCTATACAAGAAAACAGCTTAATCAATATTCATATGATACACATGGTCACTCTACTATCTACAAGCTGGTAAACATGTCTAGTAGATATACTGCTACCCCAGGTCTAACCTGGACTAGGAAATAAATCTAGCTATACAATATTTCATACACACATGTTATATTGGAACAAATCCAGTGTACTTTCTGAAATGATGGACATCTATGCACAACATTCAGTAACCGGTGTGTCGATCTGTCCAGAGTTATTAAAGGCCTCCTCTCAAAGCTCTACCCTATAGCCACATCGTGAGAGGACTTGAACAGGACAACATAGGGATTTGGGGAATTATGGTGTAACCTTGAGTCACAGGGTTGCTTCGGTAGCCATGAAGACAATCCTGAGTCACCCCAAAATGTCCCGACCAATTAGGCTCTAGTGAAATGAAAGGCCTAGCAAGTCAACAAGATTTATTATCACTACAGAGAATACAAGGGAATATCAATGGATCTTATATCTCCTTCGACACAGAAAGAAGTAAAAGAAGAAGGATATAATAATGCCAATTCTTTATGAATCCTTAATGAGGTAGTTTAGAAATACATTAAATAGTTGCTTCACTATACTTCACATATTTATCAAGTCACCCACACAATCAGCTCATCACTGATGGATTTGTTTAGGAAGAGACTACAGCACCAATGGACTTTCTACAAGTGTGATACTGGTGATAACCCTAGTGATAACTGAACTTATTTTTATTGTATACCTTATTTTTCTTTTTCTTGCTTCTCTCACAAATTAACAACTTACCCCCTCTCTGTACTGCAGGTATCTCTTATTGGTCTCTGGCTTGTCAAATCTGGCCAGGAATTTCTGCCGGTGCCCTAACACAGTGTCTACATGTGTTTTGTGTTTCACTGCCAGCTCCAGTGCCCTGTAACAAGCATACTGACATGTGCTCAGATTGTCACAGAAAACTTTCTGTGTGTTCTGTTTGACACAAAACAGAGAACTTCAGTGACAGTAATGAACACTCTCAATGCAATGTTATGCAGTAGATTTAATCATCCATGGCTAGCTACACAACACGTTGGTTCTTTTGTCTCCTATCTTGACCTAGATGATGAAAAAACTTGCTTACCCATGCTTTACTCCCAGGTCATGTAACTGTGTTAGTGTCAGGGATTCCTCATTATCCACTAGCCCAGTCCATAGAGCATCGATGATATTAGCACTGTCCATGCTTCTCAAACGCAGAAGTGCCTTATTTACCATTTACTCTGCTCTTCACTGTATATACCTGTATTTTACCCTGGCGTACCCAGGTGTGTAGATTCAGGTGTTGATAATGATGAAATGACTTCGAAAGAATGTCTGCCTATTTAGAGTGTAGAATACCTCTTGCATTTTCTGAAACATGTTCATGGCATTTTCTGATCTTAACATAAAATGCTCACCTGTCCCAATTGTACAGCTGAATGTTTAACATGATTGCTCTGAAGATCAGCCCCGCCTGTAGAAGTATGGCCTCGGCATCCTGCTGGTTCCCATAAAGCAGAGCCATCTCTGCATTCCTTGCTTCCTTCACAGGAATCTCTTTAATGTTGATAATAAACTGCACCTTGTCAGCCTAAAAATATCATAGAATATAGGTAATTAGAGATTTTACAGGTGTAAGATAAAACTCTTCTGCTTTGTAATTACCCTGGCTCCAGGCTGATGCAGCCTTAAAGGGTCCCAGGTAAACTCATGGGAAGTAAAGGTGGCCGGCATGATACTGACCCCATTACCCTCCAAGTGCCCACTGGTTTAAAAAATGTAGGTCTAGCCATATATGCTGAAGGTGTGGAAACGAGAACTTTACTCATTTTTAAGATTACACAACTCACTTCATTTATTTATAAATATGTGTAAGGACAATAAAACGCCCAGTAATCTGCTAAAACATTTTACTAGCACTGTTTGTAACTTTGGTAATATTTTATTGTAATTCTCAGTAAATTTAGTAACATTTAAAAGAATTAACTTAAGTAACTTCATGATCAGTTTCTTCAATAACATTCTTAACAATTTCATGATTGCCATAACTTGGGTAACACTCTAACATATTCATTCATAACTTTAATAGCTTCTTCTTCTTTCCCTCCTCTAGTTACCTCCATGAAGTCTCTGGGAAAATAAAGGGGGCGGAGGGAGGGAAGGGGATGGGGGGGGGGGGGGGGGGGGGGGGGGGGATGGGGGGGGGGGGGGTAAAGGAAATTCTGTGTGCTCTTTATGATTTAAAAAAAAAAATAAGTTGATCTTCATTTCTTGAAAGCTGTCCCTAATACTTTCATTGTATCTATTGCATGATCTTCCCCTGACTCTGTGTCCATTATGTATCTTCAGCACAGCTCTTTGTGGCAGTTGGTACCAGGTCATCCCCCATCAGATGGCCAAACTATCTTATGTTTGTTCTTTAATAAACTGTTAACTGGTTTTAGCCCTAGCCTTCTTCTAATGTTTTTTTTTAATCTTTTTTTGTTTTTGATTAACTTACTCTGGCAACTCTTTTCAGACAGCTTATCTCTGCTGTAATGATTCTCTGCTTATTATGGTCAATTCCAAAAGTTGTACCCTCAACCTTTAACAAACGTCTCTTTGAACTAGTGTCTGTTTTAACATATACAGCAAATTAGTTCCCCCCCCCCCCCCCCTCAACTTTAACAAGCATCTCTTTGAACTATTGTCTGTTTTAACATATACAGCCAATTAGCTCCCTCTCTGCTGTAATGATTCTCTGCTTATTATGATCAATTCCAAAAGTTGTACCCTCAACCTTTAACAAACATCTCTTTGAACTAGTGTCTGTTTTAACATATATAGCAAATTAGCTCCCCCCCCCCCCCCCCCCCCCCTTTCCCCCCAAAAAAAAAAAACTAGATGCTTGTTTACATTTGAATTATTTTCCTAAATGGACATGACTCTTTCAGGATGGCATTTTTTTCTGGTGTTTGGAAAGAATTAATTTTGAGCTCAATTTTGTTACTGCAGCGAGACAAATCAGCAATTCTATTTAAGGATCGGTAGTGCAATTAACAAAATATTAAAATGAGACACCCATGAAGATTTCTGACACATGAAATTTTGTACTTACCTTACTTTTTTATTTGATCAACAACACTGCTACTCTATTCAGTTATGCATCGGCTAGTCTTTATTTGAAACAATTAATCTAAATACTTTGGATTTAGGACCATGACAAATTTGAGAGCTACTGAATTTCAGACACAGCTGATCAAAACAGGGACGATCGATGAAAAAGTTAGTTTGATTTCATCCCAACCTCTATTGTCGGCATTAGGTGCTGCACTTGCATTATTAATCATAATGTCAACAATTATTATTGTCAGAATCATCAATGACAACAGAAGTATGGACAGTTCTAGATATTTTCTTCTTCTTCTTCTTCACTTCCTCTTTTACCGCTGTGGGTGTCGAGGGAGATATAAGGTTCTGTCTCTAGCTCTTCTGGCCGCCTCGACCATAGGCACATCGTGCTGTTGTAGAGTTTCTCTGACATTATCTTTCCATATTTTTCTTGGTCTACCTCGTGCTCTACGTCCTTCTTCTCTTTCCATGTATGCTTTGTATGGTATGGTGTCACAAGGCATTCTAAGTGGGCAAACCATTTCACCTGCTGTCTTCGTATGTAATTTAGAATTGGTTCTGTGCCGACTTTTTCTCTTATGATCTCATTCCTGATCTTATCTCTATTGGTCACTCCTACAGCCCTTCTCAGACATCTCATCTCCATCTAGATATTTTCAATTACCGTTTAGTGAGGAAAATCACACAAAACTGAATCACACTGATTTAATTTAAAACATACATAAAATAAATCCTCTTGCTTTGCTATGCTTACAAAAATGAATACACTTCTCTTTGCTAATTCCATTTTTCAAAATAAGTTTATATAAATTCATTTTCCTAGCAAATGAAATAATATTATGGAGTATGGTGAGAATCGATATATCTGCGATATGTCTAAACAAGACATAATCTCACGCCAATATATCTGCGATTCATCCTGTCAGAGCTAAGAGGCTGCATGCACAATTTCAACAATTTACACCAAATGGTTACACCAAACAGTTACACCATACTGTTACATCAAACAGTTACACCATACTATTACATCAAACAGTTACACCATACTGTTACATCAAACAGTTACACCATACTGTTACATCAAACAGTTACACCATACTGTTACATCAAACAGTTACACCATACTGTTACATCAAACAGTTACACCATACTGTTACATCAAACAGTTACACCATACTGTTACATCAAACAGTTACACCATACTGTTACATCAAACAGTTACACCATACTGTTACATCAAACAGTTACACCAAACTGTTACATCAAACAGTTACACCAAACAGTTAAACAGTTACACCAAACAGTTACACCATACTGTTACACCGAACAGTTACACCAAATGGTTACTGAGTTACAGATTTTGTAAGCTGGACACAACTTCTGAAATGGACTATAGTTACAATAAAAGTTCTGTGCCATAGGGTAGTGGCTAGATGCTCAACTGTGAATCCAAAGAACCTGGGTTCAAATCTGAACACAGCCAGACTTTGTTGCAAAAGTGACCTTGGCTCCAAGTCCATCCAGCCTTCAACAGGTACCAGATCAAAGTCCTAGAAAGTAAAGGCAGCCAGCATGACATGGACCACATCACCCACCAAGAGCCGTCTGGTCTATCAAATATAGGTCTAGCCCAATAGGTCTGAAGGGTCCTTTATGTTACTTTAAGGGCTCTTCAGGCAATGTCAATCCCACAGTAACTTTAGAAACATTATTAGCCACTTCATTCACACAATTACTTCAGCAGTAAACACTCCTAGTAACTTCAGCAGTACAATAATTTCAATAAGCCAGTAACTTAAGTAATACTCCTAGCATCTTCATTCACATAATAATTTCTGTAACACACTGGGTAATTACCTCCTGAATTGCAGCATATGCTATTTCTGCAGTATTTAAGTCTTTCGCATATGTTGCCATTGCAGCCAGGCAAGCCCAGACATTTTCCTCCTGAAAATACACACAAGATAGGACCAGTAATCAAACCTAGACCATGTATGAGGGTAAGCAGACACAGCTGCTGAGTGGTTCATGAACTGACTACAACTATGGCTGAAGGACCACAGAAGCTCTGCCATTATTTTTGTAAAATGTGTCCTAAATACTGTGTGTGTGTGTGTATGTGTGCACATGTGTGTGTTTGTGTGCATGTGTGTGTATATGGAGCCTGGGAAAGGGGGAGGACAGATAGGAATGGAGTTGATAGCTGATTTCACCCACTAATACTGTTATTAGCCAGTATATGTGAAGTTCTATCACACTTTTATGGCAATCCCTTCCACTGAAATACTGCTAACTGTAAAATATATTGTAGCAGATTTTAACCCACCATACAAATGACAGTAAAGCCAAAGTAAAGACCCTTTTTATACAATCGCATGCATGATTTTTGACCCATATGTTTTATAGACCAAACAGCATTTGATGTTAACATAAGCTGGCCACCTTTTCTTCCCAGGGCATTTCCTTGTACCCATTTTAGTCTGTTGAGCAGGCAAACAAGCATCTATCAACTGCACTACCGTGGCTCCCAACAAAAGCGATAAATAATTAAATGCATATATTATCACTGATCAGTTTCACTTGAAATCTTCACAATGAAGGTCAGTTGCAATGATCTCTAGATTTTTCTGTAGCTAATTTGGTAACAGTCTAACATCCTTTTTTTCTTCCATCCATCTCTGAATGTTTTCCTCCCATCTAAACCATCGTCTTTCACATATAAGTGTGCTCTCCACCTCCTCCTCAAAAATGGTTGTCAAGGTATTCTCTGACATGGTCTCTCTTATATGCAGCAGCAGCAGATTTCAATGAAAGTCAATACCACTCAAACTGATATATACTCAAGGTCAGTAGAATTCCTAGTCTGCTACATATTGGGTTGAATGGTACTTGTCTGAAGAATTTAAATATCTAGGAAATATATTCTCAGAGGGGAGAAGAGATCGGGAAAAAGGAACAAGAAACCAGTGAGCCAGTGCACTTAAATACCAACTTGCACCATTTTAAGACATCCAGACACAAGTAGACCGCTAAGAAACAGATCAGAAACAGAATATTCATACCAACACTGCGCTACCAGTGCCAGACTTGGACATTATTCAAGGATAACCTATGTAAAATTACCACCTGTGAAATGGGACCCCTGAGGAAAGCTGCCAAACTAACCATCCAGCCTCTCTTATTAACATTTATTTTAGAGTATCTTTCGGACATCCTCATTTCCTTGGTTCTATGTGTTTCTCATTTCAATGTCTGGCTTTGCTTACTCCTCAGAATGTGCCCAATGTACCGTCACCATCTTTGTCTTATAACAATTCACACCAGTGACTGTCCTAATATTTTTCAGCTAACATTACCAGAAACTAAATTGTGCAAACTGTTGTGCATTAACAGCATTAAAAGCCTATGGTTATGCACCAACAAGGAAATCAAAATAAAATTGTTAGATCATGCATCTTCCCTGCAGCAAAATATAGATGTGAGTCACAGACTACTTTCCAGTCCTTGAGGGGACAAAAACTGGGGCTTTTTAGCTGAAATGCTATAAAAAGATTCTTAGAATATCATGGACAAAGAAAAGAAGAAATAATGACATTCTAAAAGATCTTGTCCCTAAAACTAAAATATTTTGGCCATATTAAGTGCCATGGCGGATTCTAAAAAAAATAATAGCAGAAGGCATGGTACCAGGAAGCAAAGGCAGGAGAAAACCAACAAGAAGATGGGCACAGGATATAAGTGACTTCTTCGATATGAAAGTGCACATATCTGTCTGCAGTCATGATAACCAATGTCTGCAGTCATGATAACCAATGTCTGCAGTCATGATAACCAATGTCTGCAGTCATGATAACCATTGTCTGTAGTCATGATAACTAATGTCTGCAGTCATGATAACTAATGTCTGCAGTCATGATAACCAATGTCTGCAGTCATGATAACCAATGTCTGTAGTCATGATAACTAATGTCTACAGTCATGATAACTAATGTCTGCAATTATGATAACTAATGTCTGCAGTCATAATAACTAATGTCTGCAGTCATGATAAAACATTGTCTGTAGTCATGATAACTAATGTCTGTAGTCATGATAACTAATGTCTGCAGTCATGATAACTAATGTCTGCAGTCATAATAACTAATGTCTGCAGTCATGATAACTAATGTCTGCAGTCATGATAACCACTGTCTGCAGTCATGATAACTAATGTCTGCAGTCATGATAACTAATGTCTGCAGTCATCAAAACAAATGTCTGCAATCATTATAACTAATGTCTGCAGTCATGATAACCACTGTCTGCAGTCATGATAACTAATGTCTGCAGTCATCAAAACAAATGTCTGCAATCATTATAACTAATGTCTGCAGTCATCAAAACAAATGTCTGCAATCATTATAACTAATGTCTGCAGTCATCAAAACAAATGTCTGCAGTCATCAAAACAAATGTCTGCAATCATTATAACTAATGTCTGCAGTCATCAAAACAAATGTCTGCAATCATTATAACTAATGTCTGCAGTCATAATAACTAATGTCTGCAGTCATGATAACTAATGTCTGCAGTCATGATAACCAATGTCTGCAGTCATGATAACTAATGTCTGCAGTCATGATAACCAATGTCTGCAGTCATGATAAACATTGTCTGTAGTCATGATAACTAATGTCTGCAGTCATGATAACTAATGTCTGCAGTCATGATAACTAATGTCTGCAGTCATGATAACTAATGTCTGCAATTATGATAACTAATGTCTGCAGTCATAATAACTAATGTCTGCAGTCATGATACAACATTGTCTGCAGTCATGATAACTAATGTCTGCAGTCATCATTACAAATGTCTGCAATCATTATAACTAATGTCTGCAGTCATAATAATTAATGTCTGCAGTCATGATAACAAATGTCTGCAGCCATGATAACCACTGTCTGCAGTCATGATAACTAATGTCTGCAGTCATGATAACTAATGTCTGCAGTCATGATAACTAATGTCTGCAGTCATGATAAACTAATGCAGTCATGCAATGTATGATATGATAACTAATGTCTGCAGTCATAATAACTAATGTCTGCAGTCATGATAAAACATTGTCTGCAGTCATGATAACTAATGTCTGCAGTCATCATAACAAATGTCTGCAGTCATGATAACCAATGTCTGCAGTCATGATAACCAATGTCTGCACTCATGATAACTAATGTCTGCAGTCATGATAACCAATGTCTGCAGTCATGATAACCAATGTCTGCAGTCATGATAACTAATGTCTGCAGTCATAACTAATGTCTGCAGTCATAATAACTAATGTCTGCAGTCATGATAACCAATGTCTGCAGTCATAATAACTAATGTCTGCAGTCATGATAACTAATGTCTGCAGTCATGATAACCAATGTCTGCAGTCATAATAACTAATGTCTGCAGTCATGATAACTAATGTCTGCAGTCATGATAACCAATGTCTGCAGTCATGATAACTAATGGCTGCAGTCATGATAAACATTGTCTGCAATTATGATAACCAATGTCTGTAGTCATGATAACCAATGTCTGCAGTCATGATAACTAAGTCTGCTTTAGAGGACAAGAAGGGTGTACAGACAACCTCAATGCCATGACTTACCTTGACAAATCTGCACAACCTGACAGCATCATTCCACTTGTTATTCATGGCATGACGGTGCAGTACCAAGGGGTAAGGGGAGACTGACGTGTACACCAGAGAGCCTTCTGACCTTCTCAGGATAAGATGACTTCCAAGGAAATCAATCAGCTGTGGATCTTTACCGAACTCACTGCAATGTGAAATATGTTCACTTGAATTAAGTGGGGTTAAGAAAAAAAAAAAAAAAGATAAAAGCACAGCCAAGACAGGTAAAGCTGTAGGGTTTTTAATTTGTGTGTGAGTTGGCCAGATTTTTTTTCTATCTTCTGTGAATTATATACAACTCTGAAATTAAACATAAATTTGTTTCAGCTGTCAACCAATCGAAAGAAAATAAGAAAATTCATTTTAAGTATGTATATCATAGACAAAATATGCCATGTAAATCATCATTTTGTGACATATTTTAAATTAATGTTTTTATTCTTAGATGTTAAATCTAACTCATGTAACATTTTTCAGCATTCTCCATATCACAAGAACTGTTGAAACAACACCCATTGTCAAATTTATTGAGAAACAAAGAATGAAATGGTTTGGCCATCTAATGAGAATTAAACCAATGATGCCAGCAGCAAGAGCGTACAACCTGAAAATCGAAACATCAAGAGGCAGGTGAAGACCGAGAGGGATATGGATTGAAGGAGTCACTGACACCTTGAGACTGCAAAACATCACGGCATATCAAGCGACTGAGTGCTCCCTGGCTCAGATCGTCTGATAAACTGTGACACCTAGCAGCATAAGCAGATATTGAGAAAAGAAGAAGTTAAATCTCAATTACACTACTAATTGTGTGCAATAGTGTGCATTTCACTGAGAGACAATTAAAGTGCTTCGGACATCTTTTGTGAATAAAATATTAAGTATTTATAAAAACAACAGTTACAAAGAAGTATTTTTAACTCCTCAAACAACACACCCCCACTATGTCTCAACAGTTATACAGGAGTCTCCCTCACCCAACATAAACCTACCAGGTCCCAACTGTTATACAGGAGTCTCCCTCACCCATCATAAACCTACCAGGTCCCGACTGTTATACAGGAGTCTCCCTCACACAACATACACCTACCATGTCTCAACAGTTATACAGGAGTCTCCCTCACACAACATAAACCTACCAGGTCTCAACAGTTATACAGGAGTCTCCCTCACAACATAAACCTACCAGGTCCCAACAGTTATACAGGAGTCTCCCTCAGACAACACACACCTACCATGTCTCAACAGTTATACAGGTTTCTCCCTTACCCAATATACACCTACCAGGTCTCAACAGTTATACAGGAATTGTCCTCACCCAACATAAACCTACCAGGTCTGATACAGTTACACAAGAGTCTTTAACCTGTTGCTGAAAACTGTTAGGTCTGATACAGTTACACTAGAGTCTTTAACCTGTTGCTGAAAACTGTTAGGTCTGATACAGTTACACAAGAGTCTATAACCTGTTGCTGAAAACTGTTAGGTCTGATACAGTTACACTAGAGTCTTTAACCTGTTGCTGAAAACTGTTAGGTCTGATACAGTTACACAAGAGTCTTTAACCTGTTGCTGAAAACTGTTAGGTCTGATACAGTTACACAAGAGTCTTTAACCTGTTGCTGAAAACTGTTAGGTCTGATACAGTTACACTAGAGTCTTTAACCTGTTGCTGAAAACTGTTAGGTCTGATACAGTTACACAAGAGTCTTTAACCTGTTGCTGAAAACTGTTAGGTCTGATACAGTTACACAAGAGTCTTTAACCTGTTGCTGAAAACTGTCAGGTCTGATACAGTTACACTAGAGTCTTAAAACCTGTTGCTGAAAACTGTTAGGTCTGATACAGTTACACAAGAGTCTTTAACCTGTTGCTGAAAACTGTTAGGTCTGATACAGTTACACAAGAGTCTTTAACCTGTTGCTGAAAACTGTTAGGTCTGATACAGTTACACAAGAGTCTTTAACCTGTTGCTGAAAACTGTCAGGTCTGATACAGTTACACTAGAGTCTTTAACCTGTTGCTGAAAACTGTTAGGTCTGATACAGTTACACAAGAGTCTTTAACCTGTTGCTGAAAACTGTTAGGTCTGATACAGTTACACAAGAGTCTTTAACCTGTTGCTGAAAACTGTTAGGTCTGATACAGTTACACTAGAGTCTTTAACCTGTTGCTGAAAAACTGTTAGGTCTGATACAGTTACACAAGAGTCTTTAACCTGTTGCTGAAAACTGTTAGGTCTGATACAGTTACACAAGAGTCTTTAACCTGTTGCTGAAAACTGTCAGGTCTGATACAGTTACACTAGAGTCTTTAACCTGTTGCTGAAAACTGTCAGGTCTGATACAGTTACACAAGAGTCTTTAACCTGTTGCTGAAAACTGTTAGGTCTGATACAGTTACACAAGAGTCTTTAACCTGTTGCTGAAAAAACTGTCAGGTCTGATACAGTTACACAAGAGTCTTTAACCTGTTGCTGAAAACTGTTAGGTCTGATACAGTTACACAAGAGTCTTTAACCTGTTGCTGAAAACTGTTAGGTCTGATACAGTTACACAAGAGTCTTTAACCTGTTGCTGAAAACTGTTAGGTCTGATACAGTTACACAAGAGTCTTTAAACCTGTTGCTGAAAACTGTTAGGTCTGATACAGTTACACAAGAGTCTTTAACCTGTTGCTGAAAACTGTTAGGTCTGATACAGTTTACACTAGAGTCTTTAACCTGTTGCTGAAAACTGTTAGGTCTGATACAGTTACACAAGAGTCTTTAACCTGTTGCTGAAAACTGTTAGGTCTGATACAGTTACACAAGAGTCTTTAACCTGTTGCTGAAAAACTGTTAGGTCTGATACAGTTACACTAGAGTCTTTAACCTGTTGCTGAAAAACTGTTAGGTCTGATACAGTTACACTAGAGTCTTTAACCTGTTGCTGAAAACTGTTAGGTCTGATACAGTTACACAAGAGTCTTTAACCTGTTGCTGAAAACTGTTAGGTCTGATACAGTTACACAAGAGTCTTTAACCTGTTGCTGAAAAACTGTCAGGTCTGATACAGTTACACTAGAGTCTTTAACCTGTTGCTGAAAACTGTTAGGTCTGATACAGTTACACAAGAGTCTTTAACCTGTTGCTGAAAACTGTTAGGTCTGATACAGTTACACAAGAGTCTTTAACCTGTTGCTGAAAACTGTTAGGTCTGATACAGTTACACAAGAGTCTTTAACCTGTTGCTGAAAACTGTTAGGTCTGATACAGTTACACTAGAGTCTTTAACCTGTTGCTGAAAAACTGTTAGGTCTGATACAGTTACACAAGAGTCTTTAACCTGTTGCTGAAAACTGTTAGGTCTGATACAGTTACACAAGAGTCTTTAACCTGTTGCTGAAAACTGTCAGGTCTGATACAGTTACACTAGAGTCTTTAACCTGTTGCTGAAAACTGTCAGGTCTGATACAGTTACACAAGAGTCTTTAACCTGTTGCTGAAAACTGTTAGGTCTGATACAGTTACACAAGAGTCTTTAACCTGTTGCTGAAAACTGTCAGGTCTGATACAGTTACACAAGAGTCTTTAACCTGTTGCTGAAAACTGTTAGGTCTGATACAGTTACACAAGAGTCTTTAACCTGTTGCTGAAAACTGTTAGGTCTGATACAGTTACACAAGAGTCTTTAACCTGTTGCTGAAAAACTGTTAGGTCTGATACAGTTACACAAGAGTCTTTAACCTGTTGCTGAAAACTGTTAGGTCTGATACAGTTACACAAGAGTCTTTAACCTGTTGCTGAAAACTGTTAGGTCTGATACAGTTACACTAGAGTCTTTAACCTGTTGCTGAAAACTGTTAGGTCTGATACAGTTACACAAGAGTCTTTAACCTGTTGCTGAAAACTGTTAGGTCTGATACAGTTACACAAGAGTCTTTAACCTGTTGCTGAAAACTGTTTCATTATGATAGTATTATATCACAGTGTGCTTCTCCTGCATTTGTGCCTAAAAGGGTTGTCACACATTGGCCCAACACATCTGATTTTAGCTAACCCTAATTGGTCACCTTTTACAACATGCTTGCTAGGGGACGGTGGATCTACCCCCCTCCCAACCAAACCAAGGGACCTCAAAACCCACACATGGAATCATAGCAGCAAAGGTTACCTCTTGTTCCCTACCTGGTGTCCTTCTCAAAGAGAGTTTTGGGCAGTAAATCCTTATCAACAAAAACTGCATTTGGATAATACCAGACCAAAAGTTTCCCATCTGTCATGGCAGCCAGCATGTTTGTCTCGTCATTCCAGGCATGGGATTGGATCATGTTTGCTGGGGACAGTCAACAAACTGACATTGTTACACTCTTACATCATTCAAACAACCATCACTGTTACATACTAACATTGGATAAACAACTCATCAAACAAAACTACTGTAGGCATGTCACATCCAGGCAAGTATCAGTATACTGCTTTTCTGACACAGCATTCTAGCAGTTAAAGAAAAATGTATCCTTCTCACCAGTATAACTGCTGTCGACTCAGTCTCTGAGAATGTTAACTGTTTTACCCCATGAATGCTATTAAAAATTGGACATGAACTTATTTCCTCATAAAAATCTCTTTAAAAAAATATCAAGCACATTACACAGGACATTAATAAATTCTGAAGAAAAAAGAAATTGTTTGAAAGATTTATTTTTCTACATTTTAAATTCTTTTTCTTCTCAAAATATACAAACCTATATAAAGGGGTAACAACATGGCTGTCAAATAGCCACTGGAGTCTAAGGAAACCACTCTAAATGCTATTTTAAGTTACTATATTCATATCCTAGCCTTGATCTACACTATGCAGGTCAAGACTAAGATAACGAGAATAGGCAGGAAAAATAAAAAAATGAGCATTCATGTTAATGGTACTAAAATCAGACAAGAATAAGAATTCAGAAATATAGGAAGCATATTTACAGAAGACTCGACACAGAGCTAGAAGCCAGAGCACAAAAGGCAAATGCTGTCACCTGTCAGCCCCACTGCTCAGACACCCAATTGTCTCCCTTCCAGCAAAACAGCAAATAAATGATAGCATCTATATCCCTACTTCATGCTGTTAGTGCCAAACATGGACTTATTGTCAGGGCATCAGAACAGAAAATAACTACAATGAAACACACTGTCTCTGTAAGGTCACTAACAACAGAAGAATGTGACATCTTTGTGTGAATGAAGATCTACCTCTAGAAACTTCCAAACCAGCAGTAAAGACCAACAACATCAACTGTTACCTAGCTTGATGATCTTTCTCTCAGTACCAAAGATCCGAACTGAGGTGAGGAACAGATCTCTATTTTTGTCAATGAAGGTGATTTTTCTCTCTGCTGTAATGCCACACTGGTCTAGTCCAATATCCATGACCTCAACCTACAGGAAGTAAAAGGAATCTTTGGTAATAAAGTTGAATTGCTAATTTCATACCTTACAGTAATATTGTGAACGTAATTATATTGCACAGGTATACAGAATAACATATACAATGGTCGCCTGAACTGGACACTCTGCAATCCAAACTTAGTACCAGGAGGTAAAATATGGAGAAGGATCCGACAGATAAAGATGTAATACTTTATAACAGAGCAAAAGCAGCCTTCGTCAAAGAGAGAAATAATCAGTTGAAGGAAAGCTGGCACAACGTCATTTAACCTCGAGAAGGACACTTCACGTCTGTGGAATCTCACAAAAAGCCTATATGGAGACAAGACAGAAAAAGCCAGAGTTGTACTCCTAACAGACGATGGAGCTGTTACTGGCAAGGTAGCAGCAGATGTGCTAGCTGAAACACACCAGAAGGAAACTGAGGTTCATATTCCCATGCAAAGAATAAAAGAAGTACGAAACCAGACCAAGACCCTTCTAGCAGACTCTAGCACAAAAACAACCGAGGCCTGCATGTCAGAAAAGTTTACCATGCAAGAGCTGGAAGTTGGAATTGGAGAGTTGAAAATGAAGAAAGCCCCAGGGGTTAATGGCATTACAAACGAATTTCTCTCTCATCTTAGACCTGCTGCCAAGAAATTTCTTCTCTGCATTTACAACCAGAGCTGGCAAAAAGGTGTGGTACCGTCAGCCTGGAAGGAAGCTCTCATTCAGCCTATCCTTAAAAAGGGTGGAGAAAGAAGAGACCCAAAAAGCTACAGACCCATCAGCCTTCTTAGTTGTGTAGGAAAATTGATGGAGAAATTAGTAAATAAAAGACTAATGTGGTTCTTGGAGACAAACTCTGTAATCACCACCACACAGACAGGATACAGACAGCACAGAAACACAAAGGACCAGTTGACATATCTGGCACAGGAAATAGAGAATGCCTTCCAGAAAAAATAGAAAGTTCTTGCTGTCTTCTTTGACCTCTCTCGTGCTTTTGATACAGTTTGGAAAGAAGGCCAACAACTAAAACTGCTACAGGCAGGAGTTGTACACAACATGTACAAGTGGATCAAAGACTTTCTTTTCCAGCGCAGAGCCAGATTCAGAATTGATGGACACATCGGCAAACTGGCAAAACTAAGAGAAGGAGTTCCCCAGGGCAGTGCGATAGCATCAATTCTGTTCCTGGTTTACATAAATTATATCACAGCAACCTGCCACCAGCACGTTTATAATACCCTACATGCTGATGACTTTGTAGTTTGGACAGCCTCCGAATACACTACCACAGCCTCATATCTGTTACAGAAAACTGTGGAAAATGTAGAAGCATGGACTGAAAAGTTGGGTCTAAAACTAAATAATTCAAAAAGCACAGCATCACTTTTCTCTCTCTCCTCCAAAAAAGAAAAAAATCGAAATTTGGATAAAAAAACCAGCTCATTCCACAGACTCATTCCTACCTTACTTGGCGTTACACTTGATTCACGACTAACTTGGAAATCACATGTAGAAGCAGTACAGGGGAAAGCATTCAAGAAGCTTGCAGTGATGAAAAAATTAGCGGGTACCACATGGAGCGCTAACTCCAGAATCCTAAAACAAGTATATACTGGAGCAGTCAGGCCATTCATGGAATATGCCTTCACTGCATGGGCTGCAGCAGCCAAGACAACAATGGGAAAACTGGACAAGGTTCAGAATATGGGATTAAGGATTGTTCTCGGAGCCATGAAAACCACCCCCATCAGAGAGATGAAGAGGATAGCAGATACTGAACTCCTCAAACTCAGAAGACAATATAAAACTCTTTTACAGTATGAGAAATTAAAAAGACTTGCACTGCATTTTAAATTTCAAGAGAGAACAAAAAACAGACTGAAGAGTCAGAGCCCCAACCTGCTTGCTAGAGAACTGTACAGACAGCACCGAGATCTGCTTGAAAGAGATGTAGCACTGTGCGAAAAACTTAGGTCACTTCAAAAGATGCCCAGACGAAGACACAATAGAGAACCGTGGCTCTTGCTATGCTTGATGAGAAGTATCCAAACACCACTTGGACTCAGGTTTTCACCGACGGCTCTGCTATAGATGCAGTTAGAAAGGGGTGTTGTGGAATTTACATTAAACCCCCTGGCAGTAGAGCAGAAACTCTCTCTACCAGCAGGTGACATCTGCACTAACTTCAGAGCTGAGGCAACTGCCCTCCTTTCTGCAGTCCAACATCTCATCACTCAAGAACACAGAGGGCACAAAATTGTTATACTTAGTGACTCATTGTCTGTTCTCCAAGCACTATCAAGCAAAAAACAAGACAAACTAATTGCAGATCTATGGACCAACATTGGCTTACTCTCCAAGGAAGCAGAACTGGTCTTGCAGTGGATACCAGCCCACTGTGGTATTCAAGGAAATGTGAGAGCAGATGAGTTGGCAAAAGCTGGGAGTAATCTTCCACAACCTCATCCACCACACAGCTACAAGGAAACCAAAACAGCGCTAAAGCAGTCTTTCAAGCGGGAGTGGAGAAGGCAGAATGGAGATTACAGACCAGAGAGTGACAGCATAAACAAACTCAACAGGAAAGAACAAACATCAATTTTTAGACTTTGGATTGGACACTGTGGTCTTCGAGCACACCTGTACAGGATAGGCATAAAAGAATCTGCTGCCTGTGATTGTGGAGCAGAAAGACAGACCTCTGGGCACATACTGCAGTACTGCCCTTACCTCTCCCAGCAGAGACTGTGGCTCTGGCCCAAGGGAGCCACATTGCAATAGAAGCTATGGGGGACTGGTGGCGACCTTAAACGCACAATCCTATTTGTGACCCAGACGGGACTCAATGTTTAGCATGACTGATGTCCAACGCAGAAGAAGAAGAACTGAAGGTGGGTTATCTCACAACTGCTCCAATTTCAATACTGTGCCAGTGGAAATAACACAATATGTCCTTCACTGCCCCATTTGAAAACTAGAGAAAAACATGTTAGCCCCAGCAAAATCTAGAAACTCTCACAGGCAAAGTAAAATGCATAAGGCAGATGTCAAATTTTCCAACAGTCTCACATAAGAACTGCAGCGCACTACAGCTCACTACTGATGCATGACACAAGCAGTCAAGTACAAAAGCAGGCATTGCAAATGCAATATTACATAAGTATATGCTATTATGAACTTAATCAGCCACCTGGTATTTTTAGTGAAGTTCACAATATTCCACATGAAATTCAAAGCTCAGAGTGTTGCACTAAGCACTCAACTCAGCAGATGAGTGATGGGACCTTTAGACTGGTTCATAAATGGAGATTTTGCATCAGCAAACATTGGAGGTGTCTGCCGGTTATACGCCATATTCAACCAGAAGATTAATATACTTAAATATTACAAATATATGAAATGCTACGCCATGGAAGTTTTTGCCACACACATACATACATACATACTACTTGATTAAAATTGTTCTGTTCTAAAATATGCCAGTGAAAGCTGGTGAAATACAAAAAGCAGGAAACATGAGGTAAATACACTCCAAAACAAATATATGAGAACACTGATGAACATTAAACATCAGCAATAAGATGTAATATGGAAGTACAGATCAAAGATAAAGAGTAAAGACAGAATAATAAACAACAAAGATAGACACTAAAACAGATGGAACATCAACAACAAAGAGGAAACATCAACAACAAAGATGGAAAATCAACAAAAAAGATGAAACATCAATAAAAAAGATCAAAGATCAACAACAAAGAGAGAACACCCACACAAAAAAAACATATAGTTGGGACAGTAGCAAAGCTAGAACAACAACAACAAAGAATACCAACAACAAAGATGGAACAATTACAACAAAAACAGAACACAAACAATAACAACAAAGCTGAAACATCAAAAGCAAATACGGTACATCAACAGCAAAGTTGTGACATTATAGATGTCTCAAAAAACAGGTTTTTGGTAATACCTTGTGAGTGATAGGTTTGCCATCGCCCATAATTTTACCAGTCTGAGCATCAAACACATACACCACTGAGGAAGTTCATAAAGACAGAAATGAATGAGTTTCATTATTCTTAGAATTTAAATATTATTTCCTTTAAAAATAAAAAAATAAAAAGCTGCAACCAAACTCAATAATGTCTGGCCCAAGCCGGTTGTTATATTAACCAAGAGTGCTCTAAGTGATAAAGTCGTTCCAACTTTTATGTAACCACTCAACTTTACCTGCATCTTTTTCTCAATATCTGTTTGGGGAGGTGAGGTGTCAAATCTCTGTAACATTGTCAGTCCAGCCGCGGGTGATTTGGCAGCAGACTGCCTCATGTTGATTTCGACACTGGTAAGTGCTGACAGTTTAAAATGTTGAAAGTGAAATATTTTTTGTTTTGTTGAATATTTAAAGCCTTTCCTAATCCAACACGACCAGTGGTGCCCTAATACATACATTTTAACCCAGTCACCTTGAGAAAGCCAATCGGCCTCAGGTCCTCATCGATTGGTATGGGTTTAAAGGATACAGTTTTTTGCTTCAACTATATAGGGACAGATATGTTGGTACTGGTGCAATAATTACTCGAATCGCGTTACATGTTGGTACTAAACTGCAACATATTATTATGTAGACATATTGGTACTGGAAACTAATATTATGTCTTCACATGATGGTACTGGTTGTGCAGACTATATTATGTGTAGACATGTTGGTACTGGTGAATAGAACTCCGAAATATTATGTGGTATTGGTACTGGTGCTATAAACTAGATTATGTGTGACATGTTGGTACTGGTGCAACTATATTATGTGTAGACATGTTGTGCAACCTACTGGTGACCTACATCACCGAACTGGTGCAAAGCTATATTATGTGTAGACATGTTGGTACAGTCACCTTGGTGCAACTATATTATGTGTAGAACACATTTGGTACTGGTGACTATATATGTGTAGACATGTTGGTACTGGTGCAACTATATTATGTGTAGACATGTTGGTACTGGTGCAACTATACTATGTGTAGACATGCTGGTACTGGTGCAGCTATTCTATGTGTAGACATGGTATGCAACTATATTATGTGTAGACATGTTGGTACTGGTGCAACTATATATTGGTACTGGTGCAGCTATATTATGTGTAGACATGTTGGTACTGGTGTATGTATGTGTAGACATGTTGGTACTGGTGAAACTATATTATGTGTGGTACTGGTGCAACTATATACTATGTTGTAGACACTGGTACTGGTGCAACTATATTATGTGTAGACATGTTGGTACTGGTGCAACTATATTATGTGTACTGAGACATGTTGGTACTGGTGCAACTATATTATGTGTAGACATGTTGTACTGTTGGTACTGTGCAACTATATTATGTGTAGACATGCTGGTACTGGTGCAACTATATTATGTGTAGACATGTTGGTACTGGTGCAACTATATATGTGTAGACATGTTGGTACTGGTGCAACTATATTATGTGTAGACATGTTGGTAGTACTGGGTGCAAGCTATATTATGTGTAGCACATGTGTAGACATGTTGGTACTGGTGCAACTACTGGTGCAGACTATATTATGTGTAGACATGTTGGTACTGGTGCAGCTATATTATGTGTAGACATGTTTGGTACTGGTGCAACTATATTATGTGTAGACATGTTGGTACTGGGTACTGGTGCAGCTATATTATGTGTAGACATGTGTACTGGTGCAACTATATTATGTGTAGACATGATGGTACTGGTGCAACTATATTATGTGTAGACATGTTGGTACTGGTGCAACTATATTATGTGTAGACATGATGGTACTGGTGCAACTATATTATGTGTAGACATGTTGGTACTGGTGCAACTATATTATGTGTAGACATGTTGGTACTGGTGCAACTATATTATGTATGTGTACATGTGTAGACATGTGTAGACATGTTGGTACTGGTGCAACTATATTATGTGTAGACATGTTGGTACTGGTGCAACTATATTATGTGTAGACATGCTGGTACTGGTGCAACTATATTATGTGTAGACATGTTGGTACTGGTGCAACTATATTATGTGTAGACATGTTGGTACTGGTGCAACTATATTATGTGTACTGGTGCAACTGGTGGCAACTATATTATGTGTAGACATGCTGGTACTAGTGGTGCAACTATATTATGTGTAGACATGCTGGTACTGGTGCAGCTATATTATGTGTAGACATGCTGGTACTGGTGCAGCTATATTATGTGTAGACATGATGGTACTGGTGCAACTATATATGTGTAGACATGTTGGTACTGGTGCAACTATACTATGTGTAGACATGCTGGTACTGGTGCAACTATATTATGTGTAGACATAGTACTGGTGCAACATGTTGGTACTGCTGGTGCAACTATATTATGTGTAGACATGCTGGTACTGGTGCAACTATACTATGTGTAGACATGTTGGTACTGGTGCAACTATATTATGTGTAGACATGTTGGTACTGGTGCAACTATATTATGTGTAGACATGATGGTACTGGTGCAACTATACTATGTGTAGACATGATGGTACTGGTGCAACTATATTATGTGTAGACATGTTGGTACTGGTGCAGCTATATTATGTGTAGACATGCTGGTACTGGTGCAACTATACTATGTGTAGACATGATGTTTGGTACTGGTGCAAGCTATATTATGTGTAGACACGCTGGTACTGGTGCAACTATATTATGTGTAGACATGTGGTACTGGTGCAAGCTATATTATGTGTAGACATGTTGGTACTGGTGCAACTATATTATGTGTAGACATGCTGGTACTGGTGCAGCTATATTATGTGTAGTGGTACTGGTGCAACTATATTATGTGTAGACATGATGGTACTGGTGCAACTATATTATGTGTAGACATGATGGTACTATATTATGTGTAGACATGCTGGTACTGGTGCAACTATATTATGTGTAGACATGCTGGTACTGGTGCAACTATATTATGTGTAGACATGTTGGTACTGGTGCAGCTATATTATGTGTAGACATGCTGGTACTGGTGCAGCTATATTATGTGTAGACATGCTGGTACTGGTGCAGCTATATTATGTGTAGACATGTTGGTACTGGTGCAGCTATATTATGTGTAGACATGTTGGTACTGGTGCAACTATATTATGTGTAGACATGTTGGTACTGGTGCAGCTATATTATGTGTAGACATGCTGGTACTGGTGCAGACATGTTGGTACTGGTGCAACTATATTATGTGTAGACATGTTGGTACTGGTGCAACTATATTATGTGTAGACATGTTGGTACTGGTGCAACTATATTATGTGTAGACATGTTGGTACTGGTGCAACTATATTATGTGTAGACATGTTGGTACTGGTGCAACTATATTATGTGTAGACACGCTGGTACTGGTGCAGCTATATTATGTGTAGACATGTTGGTACTGGTGCAACTATATTATGTGTAGACATGTTGGTACTGGTGCAACTATACTATGTGTAGACATGCTGGTACTGGTGCAACTATACTATGTGTAGACATGTTGGTACTGGTGCAACTATATTATGTGTAGACATGTTGGTACTGGTGCAACTATATTATGTGTAGACATGTTGGTACTGGTGCAACTATACTATGTGTAGACATGTTGTACTGGTACTGGTGACATGTTGGTACTGTGCTATATTATGTGTAGACATGTTGGTACTGGTGCAACTATATTATGTGTAGACACGCTGGTACTGGTGCAGCTATATTATGTGTAGACATGCTGGTACTGGTGCAGCTATATTATGTGTAGACATGCTGGTACTGGTGCAGCTATATTATGTGTAGACATGATGGTACTGGTGCAGCTATATTATGTGTAGACATGATGGTACTGGTGCAGCTATATTATGTGTAGACATGTTGGTACTGGTGCAACTATATTATGTATAGACATGTTGGTACTGGTGCAACTATATTATGTGTAGACATGATGGTACTGGTGCAACTATATTATGTGTAGACATGATGGTACTGGTGCAACTATATTATGTGTAGACATGGTTGGTACTGGTGCAACTATATTATGTGTAGACATGTTGGTACTGGTGACTATATTATGTGTAGACATGTTGGTACTGGTGCAACTATATTATGTGTAGACATGCTGGTACTGGTGCAACTATATTATGTGTAGGACACGCTGGTACTGGTGCAGCTATATTATGTGTAGACATGTTGGTACTGGTGCAACTATATTATGTGTAGACATGTTGGTACTGGTGCAACTATACTATGTGTAGACACGCTGGTACTGGTGCAACTATATTATGTGTAGACACGCTGGTACTGGTGCAGCTATATTATGTGTAGACATGTTGGTACTGGTGCAACTATATTATGTGTAGACATGCTGGTACTGGTGCAACTATACTATGTGTAGACATGCTGGTACTGGTGCAGCTATATTATGTGTAGACATGTTGGTAGTGGTGCAGCTATATTATGTGTAGACATGCTGGTACTGGTGCAACTATATTATGTGTAGACATGCTGGTACTGGTGCAACTATATTATGTGTAGACATGATGGTACTGGTGCAACTATATTATGTGTAGACATGATGGTACTGGTGCAGCTATATTATGTGTAGACATGCTGGTACTGGTGCAACTATATTATGTGTAGACATGTTGGTACTGGTGCAACTATACTATGTGTAGACATGTTGGTACTGGTGCAGCTATATTATGTGTAGACATGCTGGTACTGGTGCAGCTATATTATGTGTAGACATGCTGGTACTGGTGCAGCTATATTATGTGTAGACATGTTGGTACTGGTGCAGCTATATTATGTGTAGACATGTTGGTACTGGTGCAGCTATATTATGTGTAGACATGTTGGTACTGGTGCAACTATATTATGTGTAGACATGTTGGTACTGGTGCAACTATATTATGTGTAGACATGTTGGTACTGGTGCAACTATATTATGTGTAGACATGTTGGTACTGGTGCAGCTATATTATGTGTAGACATGATGGTACTGGTGCAACTATATTATGTGTAGACATGCTGGTACTGGTGCAACTATATTATGTGTAGACATGCTGGTACTGGTGCAACTATATTATGTGTAGACATGTTGGTACTGGTGCAGCTATATTATGTGTAGACATGCTGGTACTGGTGCAACTATATTATGTGTAGACATGCTGGTACTGGTGCAACTATACTATGTGTAGACATGCTGGTACTGGTGCAACTATATTATGTGTAGACATGTTGGTACTGGTGCAGCTATATTATGTGTAGACATGCTGGTACTGGTGCAGCTATATTATGTGTAGACATGCTGGTACTGGTGCAGCTATATTATGTGTAGACATGTTGGTACTGGTGCAGCTATATTATGTGTAGACATGCTGGTACTGGTGCAACTATATTATGTGTAGACATGCTGGTACTGGTGCAGCTATATTATGTGTAGACATGTTGGTACTGGTGCAACTATATTATGTGTAGACATGTTGGTACTGGTGCAACTATATTATGTGTAGACATGTTGGTACTGGTGCAACTATATTATGTGTAGACATGCTGGTACTGGTGCAGCTATATTATGTGTAGACATGTTGGTACTGGTGCAACTATATTATGTGTAGACATGTTGGTACTGGTGCAACTATATTATGTGTAGACATGATGGTACTGGTGCAACTATATTATGTGTAGACATGCTGGTACTGGTGCAACTATATTATGTGTAGACATGCTGGTACTGGTGCAACTATATTATGTGTAGACATGCTGGTACTGGTGCAGCTATATTATGTGTAGACATGTTGGTACTGGTGCAACTATATTATGTGTAGACATGTTGGTACTGGTGCAACTATATTATGTGTAGACATGTTGGTACTGGTGCAGCTATATTATGTGTAGACATGTTGGTACTGGTGCAACTATATTATGTGTAGACATGTTGGTACTGATGCAGCTATATTATGTGTAGACATGCTGGTACTGGTGCAACTATATTATGTGTAGACATGTTGGTACTGGTGCAACTATATTATGTGTAAACACGGTAGATATAATTTAATTTACACCCCCCCCCCCCCCAAATGTAATGGAAGTTATAAGATATGAGGCTATGAAATGAACATACACAATAACCTACACTGTACAGTATGAACTATAAAAAAAAAAATATTTAAAAAGAGCTGGGTGGCAAATTCCCTTCCTCACACCATTTACTTGTCAAAAATCATAAGTATTCACTATATGAGGCTAGGTCAATCTCAGAAATATGCTAGTCAGAGCAACTATTAGACTGAACCTCAGATCATCATGTCACTAGGCAAGTAACCACATCACTACCTCAAAGGTTGTTAAAAGATCCTAGTTGTGTGAGTTTCTGAAAGACCTGCCTTGTGGCAGCAAGATCACAAATAAAGTAATGACTTTACCTTTCTCATCACTTTTATCTCTAATGGCAACAGTATCACTGCTGAGAGCAATTGTCTGCTGGTTCAGGATGTCTGCCTTCATGCCTGGGTACCTTGGTGTACACACCAAACGTCCATCATAGGAGAACACATACACACCCGTGCCATCCACCAGCAGGAAATGTCTGAGGATGTGTTAGTTCTCAAGTTATATCTCTATTCTTACCACATTTGAAGTCTGTCTAACGTTATAATTAGACATGCAGTTAGTTTTATCATATCTGAACTCACATATCTAATGTGAATGGCAGATGACAGAGAGGCAAATACTGTGCACACACAAGAGTTGAATAGCCGTAGACCCCCCCACATGGGTTCCAGGGCCCCTTTATGGGAAACAACAAGTACAGACCCACTGCCTCCCTAAGAAGTATGTTGTAAGAGTCCACTTATTAGGGGTTTCCTTTGAAGAAGTGCATCTGCCTGTGAGGCAGGAAACCAACAGTCTGCATACAAATAAGCCAGATCTGTAAAACAGATGTGTACACAACACTCAAGTTATAGAACAAGACACAAGCTGAGAAGAGTATGAACAACCAGAAATTTCCACATTTACAACAGAGATTACAGATGGTGAACATGAACAACCAGAAATTTCCACATTTACAACAGAGATTACAGATGGTGAACATGAACAACAAGCAGAAGAAGAAAAAGATGATGAAAAAGAAGATATAACTAATCTCACCTAAAATCCCATTTTTAGTCTTATCAATTCCGTAGTCACACATCTCATATCACTAATTGTGTCGCAATAAAAGTCCACATTACTCAAGTTTTGAATCTTAACCATATATCATTGAAAACATGCATCTCATCTCATCACCACTCAATTTAAACATTTGATCTCATCTAAATGCAAGTCATACACTACACCACATAATAATTCATCTTATCCCCACACAATCATGTAAATCATATCTATACACAATCATACATCTCCTCCCAACACAATGATAATCTCACCCCAGCACAATCACAAATCTCATCCCCACACAATAATACATCTCATCTCCACACATTCATACATCTCATAACCACACAATCATACATCTGATCACCACACCATCATACATCTCATCACCATACTACCATACATCTCATCACCACACAATCATATATCTCATCACCACACCACCATATATTTCATCCACACATAATTATACACCTCGCCACCACACAATCAATCATACAGCTGATCACCACATCGCTACTAATTTTAGAGCTCATTAACACACAATCATACATCTACACACAATCATACATCTTATCATTGCTAATTTTAGAGTTCATCACCAGAGTTTGAGCATCCAAATCATACCAGATATCCAGCCAAAATACCTACTGGACATAAGTAGTCACAACTATGATGCAGAAGTTCAAGCCGTCAAAATAGCAGCAGAAAAACTCTTAAATATACGTCATATTTCACAACCCTTGGTATTTCTGACAGATGCAGTGCAGATGCTTTAGGCACTCTGATCTGGAAAACTACCTGGTATACCAACACTACTCTCCAAACTAGGTTGTCGGTGTAAGGTAACTAACTATACAATGGATACCATCCCACTATTGAGTTTCCGGAAATGACAAAGCTGATAAACTAGCTAAGGAAGGTGCAAATGAAGAACAACCTGATGTACAAGTCTCTTATCAGCAAAGAAAGAGAATAATCAAATCAATCAGAAAGCCACCAAAACTGGCACAAGACGATTACCATTTTATGGATAGATCAGAGCAAGTTATTATTTTACACCTTAGAACAGGACACAATTGACTTTGCAGCCACATGTACAAAAAATTTAATATCAGCGAATCAACCATGTGCACATCTGGTTTGGCACCTTAGACAACAGATCATGTCCTCCAAGACTGTCCCAAATACAACATTTCAAGGCAAAACTTTTGGCCAAGAGAAACATCGGTGCAAGTCAAAGTTTACGGGTCGCTGAGTGAATTACAAAAGACAGTGAAGTTTATACAAGAGACAACATTGCAGATATAGATAATTTATTTCAAGCGAACAAAAGAAGAAGAAGAAGAAGAAGAAGAAGAGTTTATCACCATACAGTAACAATTTCATCAACACATAATCATACATATCAACAAACAATCACACATCTCACCACCATACAATTATACATCTTGTCACCATACAATTGTATATTTAATCACTACCAATCTTAGAACTTATCACCACACATAAGTCTCATCAACACACAATCATACACATCATCACTACTAATCTTAGGGCTCAACACCACACAATCATACATCCCATCACCATACAGTCATACATCTCACCATCACATAATTAATCACACACCTTATCACCACACAATCTTACACCTCATCACCCCACAATTGTATATTTCATGAACATACAATTAAACATCCTTTCACAACACAATCACTACGCAGTCATACAGCTCATCACTACTAATCTTAGAGCTAATAATTACTAGTCATATCTCACCATCACTAAAGACATACATATTTTCTCGTCACCACTTATCTTATATCTCATCTCACGCTAACTGTATATCTCACTTCAGCATCGCACAACTTTCACAACTATCATATACTGCTTCTTACTGTAGCTAAATTGCAGGACAATGTTAACAATTTCCTAGGAATGCACAAAAAAGAAAGAATAAAGAAGGCAACTGATTATCCCCTCCTCAATAAGACATGACACAGAATATGTGAAGGTATAAAATGTCACACCTAATCAGCCATGTAAGTACTTTAACATTATCTTTTATTTAATTTCAAAACACACATATCACTTCTGCACACCAAAGGACAAGCATGTTACATTCATTTCTCCAAAGCAGTCTTCAATGCAAGGCTGCAAAAGTATAGCAATATACAAATTAATAGAATTTTTACACAGAAATTATATTATCTAGTGAACCTTCAGCTTTAAAAGAGTTTACTAACTTTTCTGCCTGTTTAATGAGAGTTACACTGCCCTCCTTTAGGTCAAAGATGACAGGTGTGTTCCAGTTTTTAGTGCTGTAAAAATTCAACTTACTTAAAATACTTCAAACTCATACAAATGCTTCAAATTATTACAAATACGTCAATTTAACCACAAATAGTTAAACTTAATAATAGTTCTACTTCACGTTCAACAGTGAAAATGTGGTGTGAACAGAGTCAAGGGTAAGGCCAGAGAAGGCCAGCATTTTGTGGTGCTCCTTAAATAACAGCACTGGAAAGGAAGACTTGCCCAACATTTCCATTAGGGCATAAGTGTTGAAAGAAGAGATAAGCTGAAAGTTTGACTTTTGATCGCAGTCTGTCCTACAAGATCACTCAGCAACAACACGAAAGTTAAGGTCTTCAATTCCTGTGTGATTCCAGTGCTAACTTATGGTTGTGAGAGTTGAAAATCATCAGTATCAATCGATAAGAAACTAGTCGCTTTCGAGAATAGATGCCTCCGAAAGCTATTGAATGTTCACTGGTCGGACTTTAGGTCCAATACATCTATAAGACAGGAAACAAAACAAAAATATGTGTCTGATTTGATTAGAAAGCGTCGCTGGAATTACATCGGTCACGTACTCAGAATGGACATACAGAGACTTCCCCACCAAGCCTTCATATGGTCACCAGAGGGTAAAAGAAAACAGGGAAGACCAAAAGAAACTCTCCGTAGAACCATCACAAGGGAGAGCTCAACCATAGGTCTCAGTCGCACTCAAGACCTACATCAAGTGGCAAAGAACCGACAGACGTGGAAAGCTATGACCTCTGCCCTATGCGCCATCTTTGGCACAAGAGGAATAACTAACTAACTAACTGTCCTACAAATATCACGTGGAACAGACTGTGATCAAATACAAGCGTGGCCTGGTGGCATTGAAGACGATGGTGGTGACACAAATGAAACAGCGACTATTTGTCTTACTGATCAGCCATTTTGTCCTTTCAGTAATTGATTATAGCCTAGGAATTTTAAACCTATCTACTTCACAGTGTACAAAGCTTGAATGAATTCAAAATGAAAGAATGAGAATCGTCTTGGGTTGCACAAGAGATACACCAATTAGAACAATGGGAAATATTGCTTGGGCAGAAATCTGTCAAGTCTAGACTTTCATTGGCACAAGCCAAGGCCTATATGCAAGTTACCAATGAAGAAAGGCATCCGCTGCATGGAAAACTAAAATATTTAAGAGAAGACTGGTTGAAAAGAGGAAAGTCATGGAGGGCAACAGCTGAAGAGACCACCGAGATGGCGGCTTCAGTTGAGCAAATACAGGGGGCAGGAATGGGTCAACACGAACACCCACAACAGCAGTTTCCATCAGGTTATTATCACACTGGGACATGGCAGAGAATGTAGAGAGTGGTGTAGTCGTAAGACAGAAATAATTTTTAGCTCATTTGGCTCAGTGTTGTGAACATCGAAGCCCTTTAGCCTCCATGCCACGTACATTGTTAATCTGGGGAATTTGTGGCTTTTCTGCCATCAAACCCGAGGTCGAACACGCATGGGGACTGTCACCTGACATATAATGTGCTATCAACTATGCTGGAGCGCCAGGCATCAGGCAGAATTAGAGTTACAACAACAAACAGATGAAAACGCTGGGCTAGATGATGCAGTAGTGTACACCGATGATTCTATTCATTGGGGTGTAAGTTCTGGCTGGGGATTTTCAGCTAGAATGAATGGCAGAACAAAATGGAGCTTTTTCATTTACAACTTCAAGTATGAGGATGGAGGTGGAGGCAATGACTGCAGCTCTGATTTGGATAGCAGAAAACAAAGTAAGCAGAGGAATTATTGTGTCTGATTCTCAGCCGGTACTGGGAAAGGTTGAAAATGGACTAATGTGGCATGAGTGGATACCAAGCATCAGTAGGCCAACATTGCAGGGAATCGTGTAGAAATACTGTCCAGGATACGCAGGAGTATAAGGAAATGAAAGAGCGGATTTTCTGGCTACAAAAGCAATTGCTACAGGAACACTTGTACTGGACAAGGGAGAAATTATGAAGCCATATATGAACGGATGTTGACAGAAGACATGAGATTAGATGAAATAACATGGACAAGAATGTATGAACAAGGAATTAGGAGTGGATCCGGCAAGGAAGGACGTATGAGAGGAAGAGAACAATGTTTGTATAATCAGTGTGCTACGGGAAGCTTTAGCATCTACACTTTAAGACCTTTACTGTGGGAGACAGAGCACCTATGGGTATGCCCAGTGTGCTTTGATGCTGATTCTTAAATCAGTAATCAGTTCAACAGCTGTAAACTCAGGAGGAAAGCTCTGGTTGTTGATCCACTTCTGGACTTTAGTCTTGTTTCACAACTTGAGTTTTTGCATGCACATCCGTTTTAAAGATTAGGCTAATTTGTATGCAGACTGTTGGTTCCTAGCCTCTCAGGCAGATGAAATCCGACTTCGCCGAAAAAATCCCCAGTCACCTATTATAACATTATTTTTTTAACGAGGGGACCTATTCTGCCCCCCCCTCCCCCACATGGGGCCTCAGAACCCACATAGGAACACTTATTATTAAAATTCAACTGATTACAAAGATTTAAGCGTTTTATAAGCACTAATGTTTAATGTTTAATTAATTAACAATCAACATTTCAGCACTTGGAGACATTACCATGAGCAAGCGTAGAATTCCAATTCCAATGGTACCATTAGCAGTCTGATTGTACAGCCATCTCACCTTTCCCTTGAGGGCTGATTGTTGACTGGATCCTCTAGTCACTCCTCGCAGTACCATTCTCTTCTGACCATCATGGTCCATCTGTGCTTCCACACTATTCACTCGCCCCTAAAGGGATCTTAAAACACCTAGCTTGTCAGGCATCAATCGCCAAGCTGCACAGAGCTAGCCAGTCTATCTGTCTGTTCATTTCATATACATCGGCTGAACCTGGGGAAAATATCCAAAGGACACTAACTACCCAGGACCTCTGAAGCGATGCTGGCCACTTCACTGGAGCATACTGGTCTCCACCTTTATTCAACTTTCTCTGTGAGCCAGTTACAACATATGTGTACAGTTAATTTTCAAGCCAGCAAAAGGCAGCAGTGACTGCCTCCCCTCCATTCTCAAACTAGATTTTGTGGTGTCATATGCCAGGCTTTGTTGCACTAAGGGATGTCTATTCACTTTTATTAAGAATCCCCTTGAAGGCTTTGTTTGCCCCTTAATACAGAGCCATCTGTACAGTTTATCACATCACCTGGATGAGAATAGTCATGAATCATTTGTCTAACTTCTGATTCTGCAGCGCCTGCTGGCCAGTCCCTGCATTCAATGCCCAGTGTGATCAGAACCATATACAAGTCTGACTTTTGCTGGGATATTCTGACCCACTCCTCTCCTCGCCAAATGTTATCAAGCCTACACACACCTCTGATTGTTTCTTCAGCTTGCGCCATCCAAGACCTTTCTCTCTTCAGTCTGTGACCCTTAGCTCTGTCTAGGGCTTCATGCAGGCGGTTTTTCTTATCTGCGGCTACTCTGATATATGACTTAGCTTGTATTTTATGAACACCTAAACTTGTGATGAATATTTCAATAATGACAGATAGGGAGATTTAAGGGAGCCTCCCCCACCCCCCACACCCTCACCCCTTTAAAAAAAAAATTGGAGTAGGGTTTGTAAAGAAAGTCATTTAAAAAAAGAAGACAATTAACAAAAAACAATATCAATGCAGTGAGTCAACAAGTGTACTTGCTCACCTGTAGATGTAACACTGAGTGGATGTGGCCACAACCAAGTGGCCAAAACCCAGGACACATTTGATAACACGGTCCCTGAAGTCGAGTTTTTCTGTTGCATCATTCATCACATTGCGAATGTGAATCTGCTTGCTGGCTGTTACTGTAGCTTCAAAGTTTTTCCACTCCAGTCTTCTACAAAAACCAAGTGGTTTGGGTGTTATTCAAATCTTGTAGGCTAACTGATAGACTTTACTTGCTAGAGAAAGCAAATCCGTTGATGATTATGTTCATTCATTTAAATATTAATACACAATATTGTTTTAAAAATGAAATATCCATTTCACTTATGTACTTCTGTATACAGTAAATAAGTGAACCCGATGTGTGAGTGGTTCTTCCCTGTGCATCCCAGCAGAATATATTCCCTTACTTTCTATATTTGGTCACAACATATTAAAGCAATCTGGTTTCCCTTGTGGCCAACTCCACTGTGCATTTTGTCACTTTGAAAGTAATGAAATTTTTCATGGGTTTTTTTTCTTAATACAGGAATTAGTTGCAAAACATTAAACTAACAGAATTAAAAGATAACATTTATACAGACAAAAGGATGCAAAGATAGGTCTGTCAGCTGTCGCTTTTTGTTTAGTTTTCATGAAGTTGCTGGGCTGTCCATGAGATTATAAATAAAGTTTCAAGTTATTATCCTGTTCACTTCTAAGACACTAAGGAAATGACAATGTTAGTTTATTTAAATAAACATGGGTTGACAAAATTCTGGAAGACCTAGACTTTGCCGACGACATAGGCACTCCAGACGATTTCAGAACACAAGCGTGGACTGGATAAGATGTTGTCATCATAATCGACTCCAGAATTTCTCAGAAAAAATTGGACTCCAAATTAAGAGACGCAAAAACAAAAATTCTAGACCTTACCAACATTGTATTCAGATTGATATCACGCTTAAAGATAACATCCTTGTAAAAAGTCAACTCATTTCTTGTTAATCTAGGGAGCAAGATGTCTTTTCACAGGAGATACCGCACCAGAAATATCATTTGCAAAGCACTGGCATCTAGTGCATTTCACATAAACTGGCTAACATCTGAAATCAAAGACACTTGACAAACACACAAAACTCAAAATCTTCAATTCTTGTGTGATTCCAGTACTAACCTATGGAAATATGCGAGAGCTTGAAATCATACGAAAACTCTAGACACAAAATTAGACATGCGGAAAATAAATGCCTTAGACCCAATACTAAATTTCAAATGGTCAGATTTGCCCGAATGGCAAATACACAAATAAGACAAGAATCCAGGCAAGAGTATGTGTCTAATTTTATACAAAAAGCCGCTGGAACAAATGTCGGCTACGCCCTTAGAATGGATGAACATCAAGACTTCCTTACCAAGCCCTCATTTGGACACCACAGGGGAAAAGATGAAGACCAAGGGAAACCATACGTAGAACTATCATCAGGGAAGGCTCGCTCATGGGCCACTCAAACATCCAAGACCTACAACGGATTGCAACGGACCGCCGTGCATGGAGAGTCATGACCTCTGCCCTATGTGCCGCACTCGACACAAGAGGAAAGACTAACTAACTTGTCTTAACTAAGTTAAAACCTTATTTATTTGCTATTTGGCTTAGGAACATGTCAGACGCATATTTGTAGACAAGCATGGACTGGATAGGTGATGTTTACAGTGACATATCTGCTGGCTTCAACCTCTGAAAACTGTCCAATGTGCATTTCAAGAGACTGGAGTAATCCCAAGCAGTGATACATTTAGAATGCACTGGGACATTTGTATTATATTGATAATGATATATTTTAAAAGATAAAATCTGTGTAGAATGATAGAATTCATTTCTTGTTAATATCTTGAGGATATCTTTCTTTTCAAAGAAAACCTCACCTCTCAATAACATTTGCAAAGATGACCTGGCCATTTCCACACGCTCCGGCCACTTGTGTGCCATCACTTGACCAGGCTAGACTGAAAATACTTCCTGTATTTGGTTTCTCTAAAGCATATGACCACTGCAGAAATATCAAAAGACTTGTAAATATATATGTATATACTCAAAAATCCTCCTCATGCGGGGAAAATAAGAATAGACCCACTGTCTCCCATTTAAAGTTTGAGTGCATCTGCCCGAATGGCAAAGAACAACTAACTGCACACAAATAAAATGGATGTACAAGCAAAACTTAATCCTGGCACAAAGCCAACTAAAATCCAAATGGATGAACAACTAGGACTTTCCATCAAAGCTTAAGCTGGTGAACAAAGGAGAAGAAGAAGGTATATCCAAAAGAACATTGTGGAAAACTGTAGGAGGTGCAGTTCTTTTCTTCCACCGCGGAACGAACCCACCTGGAATGTGAATTCGATTTGCAGGGTGAAATAATTATGATACATAGCTAATTATTTTTTCCTAGAAAGATGTCCAGAGACATTTGTGTTTGCAGACGCTTCAAAATTTGGCGGAAATGCGACACAGCATTATCATTAAATAAATTTGCAGCGTGCATAGCCACTTCCTTATAAGGGTGATGCTTCTCAATGTGAGATGCAACAGTCTCCCATGCTTTCAGCATTTCTCTAATTCGCCAGAAGATCGTTGACTACAGGTTCCACAGGTTACTGTCTCAAACCCCTTAAAGTCACAAATCGATAACACTCTCAGGCCAAAGCTTCTTCAAAAAGAAGTTAGGGTTCACTTGGTAACCCCTTCCCCGCCTTTTTGACCATCCTGAGGCAGGCAACGATGTGGAAATGATTTTTCCAAAACTCTTTGAGAGTGAGGTTGGTCCCTTCAGTCATCTGAAAACAATGCTCGAAGAGTGCTTTAGTGTAGAGCTTCTTGAAGTTAGAAATAACTTGCTGGTCCATTGGTTGGAGTAACGGAGTGGTGTTATGATGCAGAAATTGGATCTTGATGAACTTCAGGGAGGTCATCTTGTAGGCCTGGAGGATTCATGTACATATATCACAATATAACACAAGTTTGAGAAAATGTGTGATCACAAGTGACACTGCGATGCTACTGGAACGAGTGCTAAACAATGATGTAACATGCGCAAAATCCAGGACTTCCCCTCTCTTCGCCACTCGATATGCGAAACGTCGCTCGTTAAGCAAGTCATTCTTTTACAATTTGTTTTGCTCGTTAAGCGAATTGCTCGTTATGAGAGGTGCTCGCTAAGCGAGGTTCTACTGTACTACTGTCGCATTTTTACTTAGTGTCTTTTGATAATTATCTGAACTATGTAACACACCAGAGAAATAAATTGGCCAGAGGAATGTTTAACCCTTTCGCTGCCATGGACGAGATAACTCATCTGCCCGGTAGACTGCTAAGGACGAGCTAACTCGTCTTCTGTTTTCTGTGCCCTCACTGCTAAGGACGAGCTAACTCGTCTTCTGTTTTCTGTGCCCTTACTGCTAAGGACGAGCTAACTCTTCTTCGACTTTTTTTTTACAGATTGCTAAGAGCCGTAATTCTCCGGGGGAGGGGGTGGGGGGGGGGGGGGGGGGGGGGGGGGGGGGGGGGGGAATATCGCAATATACATTGCCTAAATCTGATCAAACTGACACATTTACATACAATGAAAACACATATCACGTTCGTTTAGGTGCATTTAGATGCATTTCATATTATCCTGTTGCTTTGTTACCATAGAAGCATGGTTGGCGAACGGTATATTTTTTGCCCTAATATATATTTCTGGTTTTGCGTTAGTCTTTTTTTTTTTTAAATACAAAATAACAAGAAAATTGGTTAATTATAGTTAATGAAGAATAAATAGAGTTTCTTTCGAGGAGTAATAGTAGGGTAACTTTGAAATGTGTTGAGTTATATGAGCTGGGTTATCTTCGCAGCACGCCGGCGGCAAACACGTGTACTTCTAGCCGTGAGCAAGACTGACAATATGACCCAGCTATCTACATTGACTGGATTTGAAATGAATCCCCAATAATCAAAATGAAGATATGGTCACGTATTGACATGATAATTAATACTAATGTTTCTAATATACTATACAACTGACAAAACTGTCTCTCTATCAAAGTGTACAATACTGGTCCTATTTTCGGTACCAATTTTCATATGAATTTCTAGCGTAGTTGGTATCCCGTCTGCCTTACAATCGAAAGGTCCTGCGTTTGATTCCTACATGCCGTATTTTTTTTAAATTATTATTTTTAATGTAAATTCTAAATTTAAGCTCTTAGCTCTTTCAGCAACAGACCACCGAAGTATTAATTAATTAAACATCCTGTCAAGTGCGTTCAGGTGCATTTAGATGTGTTACATGTTATCCTGTTGCTTTGTGAAGTATGGTTGGTGTACTGTTCATTTGTGTGGAAAAACACTCCTGTTGCCCAATTTCACTTCATGTTAGTAAGAAAAATTCTACAGAAATATTGCAAGGAAAAGAGAAAAAGTGTAGGACACAAAAAAGTGAAGATCTGCCACTTTGTTTAGTACAAAGGCATTTCCCTTCAATAATAGAGTCCGTAACATCACAGAAGAAATTCCCAACAAGAAAGTGTGTGGTATGCGCAGAAAGCAAAAAACGACGGAAACCAGATACATGTGCAAGGACTGTGATTTGGCATTGTGTGTCGCACCTTGCTTTGAAATATTTCACACAAAAAGATATTAATTAATTTTAAAAAAAACCATGTATTTGCTTACTAAAGTGTTTTGTGTTTGCTTTGTAAGTTTGTAGTGTTTTCTTTTTGTTAATGAGTTTTCATGGCGTAGCCCAAGCGCGTCCAACTTGTCAGCGCAAAGGTCAACCATGCGCCTTCAAAGCGTTTTTATTTTAGGTGTACAATTTTTACCCCGCGCTGCAAGCGCGTCTTCTGCTTTTGGAGGGGAAAAGGGTATTCAGCACAGGAAAGATTAGCACTCGCCTGGCTTAGCACAGTAGTTACGTTGGCTTGCTGAGGGCGCAGCAGCGAAATGATTAAGTTTAACATCTATCATTTGCTCCTGAGCAAACTAATAACAGTAGAGGTAAAATGATCTTTGCCTACCAACTGGAACTCAAAGGGTGATGCAATCATCATGCAATCCTACTTTACTTCCCAGGACTCTTCCTGGTACTATTTTAAGCTGGGTCGACCTGGAAGCCAATGTCATTTTTATAAAAACAAATCTGACTCAGTGCGGATTTGATCCCATGATCTTCCAGCATCTAGATGCTACACCAACATTGCTCCCAATATTAGTAGGCAGAGTATGTATTAACCTGTTCAGTCCCAGGGAATTACTGTGAAATAAATTATAGGCCAGAAAGAGTTAAACATTATATGTCAGAAATTAAATAATTTAAGCAACAAAATCATTTAATTTAATGTAAGAGGAAAAAACTACATAACAGTCACGTATAAAGACGTATAGGAAACTAAAAGTACTTGTAGTTATACAGTTACTTATCAACTACATTGTATTGCTTGAGATGGAATGAGTTCAACAGGTACAATGGGTTAAAAGCTCAAGAAATAACAATTTTGTCTTTGTTAATCTCATCCTATCTTATCCTGACCCTCCTGAACCTTGCCGTTTATGCTGACGTATATTTTGTGGGAAAGTGCCTATTTCAGTGCTTCATTTATGAAGATTTCCAGGGAGCGTTTTCATTTTCTCCATCGTTTGCATGGGCAGCCTCTTTCCCAAGGTATGCTTGGTCTGTACATCACTGCTCATTGTGGTATACTGTTTGTTGGCAGCCTCTTTCCCAAGGTATGCTTGGTCTGTACATCACTGCTCATTGTGGTATACTGTTTGTTGGCAGCCTCTTTCCCAAGATATGCTTGGTCTGTACATCACTGCTCATTGTGGTATACTGTTTGTTGGCAGCCTCTTTCCCAAGATATGCTTGGTCTGTACATCACTGCTCATTGTGGTATACTGTTTGTTGGCAGCCTCTTTCCCAAGATATGCTTGGTCTGTACATCACTGCTCATTGTGGTATACTGTTTTGTTGGCAGCCTCTTTCCCAAGGTATGCTTGGTCTGTACATCACTGCTCATTGTGGTATACTGTTTGTTGGCAGCCTCTTTCCCAAGATATGCTTGGTCTGTACATCACTGCTCATTGTGGTATACTGTTTGTTGGCAGCCTCTTTCCCAAGGTATGCTTGGTCTGTACATCACTGCTCATTGTGGTATACTGTTTGTTGGCAGCCTCTTTCCCAAGATATGCTTGGTCTGTACATCACTGCTCATTGTGGTATACTGTTTGTTGGCAGCCTCTTTCACAAGATATGCTTGGTCTGTACATCACTGCTCATTGTGGTATACTGTTTGTTGGCAGCCTCTTTCCCAAGATATGCTTGGTCTGTACATCACTGCTCATTGTGGTATACTGTTTGTTGGCAGCCTCTTTCCCAAGGTATGCTTGGTCTGTACATCACTGCTCATTGTGGTATACTGTTTGTTGGCAGCCAAATTAAGTAGCAGAACAATCTGTTGTTCTAAATTAAATAGCAGACTGACTTTTTATTTTACAATATACTCTAATGTCTAACTATTTTTCTCGACAATCATCATTTCTGATCTTCCCTCTTCATGATATAACAAGTGTTTTTCTCAAGAATTTCAATCCAGTTGTAATTTTCCTTTTCTTTGTTCCTGTCACTGTCCAAGTCTGACATTAGAAGCACAGAGTTGGTATGGCTGTGTTATATAGTGCCACACACAACGTGCCAAAGAACAGGCATTCTAATGGTGATCATAGAAGAAGAAGAATTTTAGTCAAAAGGCAGTTGAACATGTGATTCTCTAAAAGAAAGATGAAAACCCCATGGTTAGATTTGGTAAGTAATGAAGATGTCTTTTTTAAAGAAACCAACTCACAAACGGAACTGATTTCTCACAACAAAAGCATACAAAATAAAAATTATTGACACATGAGGAGTAAACTGGAAAAAACACAAATCTAATGATCACAGAATAGTTGAAGAAAAAGATAGACAGAATATAAAATCAGAAAAGAATATGTTAGAGTCTGCTTATGTATGTATCATGGAGATATATCTGCATCAGAACTTACCAGCAGTATATAAGATGAGAGGCTGAGCAAGCAATGAAATACAGCAATGACCACAAATACACTGGAATTGGCTTATTTCACTTACTCCACTCCTGTGTGGGTTCCATAGCCCTGCTGTGGGGAAACCTAGAATAGACCCAATAACTCCCCAACAAGCATGGTTGTAACAGTTGCCTAATTGGGGGCATAATTTGAAGTACATTTGCCAAAGGAACCAAAAGTCTGCATACAAATAAGCCAGATTTGTAAAACAGATGAGCACATAACACTCAGATTTTGGAACAAGACTAAAGTCCAGAGGTGGACGAACAACCAAAACTGCGCCGGAGTTAACAGCCGGTAAAAGCAAAGAAGAAGAAGACTTACTCCACTCCTGTCACAAAGACGAAGGGTGTTGAAGGAGCCAATGGCAAACATCTCTCCATCAGGTGTCCAGGATACAGATGTTATAGGGTAGTCGTGGCTGCTGCTACTGTACAACTGTCGGCCATAAATGTCCCACACCTAAAGTTCCACAGAATAGAAGAATTCAATGTTACACTGCAGAATTCGTTTAGGGTAGAGAGGATATATAACAGTGCTATTATTCTAAACAATGGTACATTTACAATTGTTTATCAAATCTGATATTTGTGGTCATATGTGACATAGTTTCTCCTACCCCAAAACAAATGAATGATGGCTGTGAGATGTAATACTCTCCCATGAAAACTGGTAAAGCAGGTAATCAAATGGCATCCTATGTCTTTGCCCTGTCACAGTAATTGTTATCTATTACAGGTAATATTCATGTGTTAATGGAGCCATTGGGAGGTGACTAAGGGCAGATTTAGGTTTGAAGGTGCTTCCCCTATTCCATAAACAGCTTCAGAAACAAATCAAACAAACAATCCTGTCTAAAAATGCTTGGCCTAAGTTAGGTGGGAGCCTAAGGTTCATTAGAGAATAAAGTGTAGAAGAAGAATATTAAAGATGAAAAAGACTGTGTGTGTGCAATAGGTCAAAAAGCCATGACAACAATTATTGCTGGATTTAAACAGTTATATGTATAGGATATTTTTTATCTACTGCTTATGTGTGTGTGTGTCTGTTATCCAACACAGATGTATCAGCATGAGATTGTAATGATTATGCTGACACCTTTTAGAGAGGTGTGGTGGTCAGTGCACTGGTTTGACAATATAAAGCTTTGGGGTTCGATTTACCAAGATTGGGGTTTAGCTTGAATCTTCACAAGTGGCAGAATTCTTATTGTTTACCAGTATGTCCCTGGGCTCAAACATGCATCACAAATTTTGAAAGTTGAATTAAGAATCAACATCAGAGAACGGTAGTTGCATGGTACTCTGTCTGCCTTCACTCCTTATTTTAGGCTTGGTCGACCTGTGACGCCATATACCATGATAAAATTCCACGCAGCCAGCAGTGGGTTTTGATAACGGTACGTTGGAATTACAAGTAGAATGACAAAAATAAAAATAAATATTCGACAACAGAAGGTAACCTACTTTGTATCTTTTATCCTCTGCGCCTGACAATATAAGATTGTTTACAGCGTTCCAGTCAACACTCAAAATGATACCCTCATGTGCTTTCCACTGAAAATCAAGCAAATCATAACCAATTAAGGATACATTTATATATGAACACAGATCACCATGAGGCTTCTGTGAGGCTTCAAATCATTAATGCCAATAGCTCCCTTTTAGAAAATCAGACTGTTAACTAAAAGTGCTGCTACAGCATTTCAGTGGAAAAGTTTTGCATAGTGTGGTTGCTATCATGCTGTGCCATTTTTAGTGTTAAACCCCTTAAGTAGGGTTCACTACATAATGATGTTGTGACTATAACATTTCTCTCTTGTTCTTCATTTGTTTGTTTTAAACATGTTGGCTGGTTGTAGCTACTTACAGCAGCCTGTGACATCATGTTATCTGCATCTTTCAGCTAACAAATGTGGCTGCTTCATACCAGGGTTTTAGACAGTGAAATTACAAGAATGTGTGTGATGGATGGGTGAGAGTATGCAACATGTATCTGTGGGTGAGTGATAATTCTATGAAAATAAGCCTGATAATACTGTTGCCCACAGGACTCAAACTATTACTTTTTACATTTGAGGTGGTAACCATGCTTTTAGACCATGCAACTCCCAAAGAAATATCAGAATGAGACCAGAATATATATATATACAATACATAAAATAAACCTAAATGCATTCAATGAACATCAGCACAGAGCAAAACAACAGTGTTATTTTATCTGCATACAGACCATCTGAGGTTTAGCACTGGCTTGTAGAGGTTTGATCACCAGCTGTCGGCCATTTGTGAAGAGCACTTGATCAGAGTCAGGGCTCCAGGCAATGCCATACACTGGGATACCTTGATTAAAGGAAACACATGCACTTATGACTATAAAACATGGTTATATTACAAATAAATGCATTGTAAAGCTACGATAGCTGTGCTGGTTTGAAGGAACCACACATATCTCACTAGATTATAAATTGGGTGGCTAGCTTCCTTTATCAACTGAGAATTTCTAGAGGTATGTGATTCTTCTCTATCAAATATTAATATCTGACACTGTGACACTACACTTAATTGATTTTCATATATAAGCAACTATTTTCAACTCTCTCTGTATTTCTTTACTTCTGAAAGCAATTCTGCAATGCAATATCAAAGCAAGGGCAGAAGATCCCATCTCATGTTGTACATCACAGTGCACACTCACCCCACATCATCTCTGATTCTGGATCTGTTCTATGTGACTCCGTCCCTCAATCTAATGACAGTCCTCACCCTATCACCAAGATGCAACCATCCTCATATCCCCACCATACAACCCAACCTGCCTTTTACTATTCACCTGTTGTCAGTGTCTTTACCTGTTCTCACAAGCATCCTTAATGCCACAGTCACATCTGACCCAGAACCTTCTCCTGCAATCTCATTCTCCTGCCTGTATATTTACACCCCTTCCCATACACACATACACATATATGCGGCCATGCACGCACATACACACGGCCATGCACACACACACACATACAAAGATAAAGTAGTTAGAATTCTACACACAAGGGTCACACAATCAGGAATTTACTTACTGTTCTGTGTGAGAGTTGAGCGTAGCATTCCACTTCTTGACCAGATTTTCACCTGCCCATCTTCGCCTGCTGTGACCAAGGCTGTGCCATCGTAGCTCCATCTGCCACACAAAACTGCTCCCTTGTGAGCCTCAACACTCTTCTCTGTTCTACCAGTTCGACTGATCAGATGAAACTTACCTGCATACAAGAGAGTATTTTCATACTGCTGTAGCAACTAGTCATAAAAGGCAGGCACTTGTTAGTTTAGCAGAAGTTAAATGTCTTCAATGTTAACTCATCAACTTTAGTCTAAATTCTTCACAGCTAATTCATTAACGTCAGTACAAATTCTTCAATATGAACTCATTAACTGCATTTTATATTCTTCAATGTCAACTTATCAGGCACAGTTCCTGTCTTTCAATGTTCACTCACCAAATGCAGTCCACATTCTTTGATGTAAACTGACTAAACCACCCTCAACCACTGACGGTGCCAAACTTCAAGCAGAGTGGTACAGAATTTTAAAAAGCTTTGATTCGCCAAATATGTCCCCCATAACACACACACAAGTGATAAGATGACAAACTACAGTTGGAATTACACACATCTCTAGCTGAACAAAAATAAACTCTGCCAGAATTGTTTGTAATCCAGCAGCGAATAAGATAAGACAGTTTCTGTAAGGCTTTCTACTGAAGCTGCAAGACTAGTTTTGAGTTATGGGTTAGATTATCTTCACAGCACTCCGGACACATCCATAGGCGCTCCGATTCCCTTCTCAACATATTTTAAGCGTCGCACGGTTAATAGTGCCAGTCCTATGTTGGCTGACAAGACTTGGTGTGCTTCTCATGCTTGGCTGTGCTGATCTTTACTCCCAACTCTCGTATTCTTAGCAGTGATGTGGACACGTTGCTTTCAAAATCCTCAGAACATCCTATCTTTCTAAGGGCAATGACAATGTCTGTGTGATCCATGGGCCGGCCATCTTCAATTAATGCAGCACCTGTCAATCTATCAGCTCTTTCATTACCAACATCGCCTGCATACACTGGGATGAATATGAAGGTAACTGCACACACAGGAGAGTTTTGCAATGACTCAAACCCCTGTCTGTGTAACTAGCCTGCCTCGACCCGCCGGATCATGCTCAAAGAATCACTCAGTACACACTCGCGGGAACATGAGTGGGTGTAGTGGTTGGGAAGGGGCGAGGTAAAAGGGAAACTGACACAGACATCAGAAGGAAACAGCTAACATCTCTGGTAAAAGAACGAAAGAAAATGTTTAACAGGTGGCAACAACGATTGGTAGGGCTTTTGAGAGAAAGAAAAAGAGTCAGTTACAGAGGAAACAGTCTATTTCAGCATGAAAACAATTCAGCATGTGAACTGATAAACACAAGAGAGACTGTTACATCAGTATCTTTCTCTGTCTAAAGACTCAAAGATTCCCCAACGGTGTCTCTACCTTGCAGAGGTGGGGTAGTGAGTTTCTCAATGACTCTGAGAGCTATGCCAGTTGTAACCTTGCTACCAGCAGGGCCTCCCAAGCAATAAAGTTGAAAGGATAGAGAACAGACTAAAAGAGACCCCCCCCCCCCCTTCCCGCAGTGGGGGGCTATGGAGGAGAAAAGGAGGAGTAGACAGCCCTCTCCTTCGTAAAACAGATATACATTGAGCCGATGGAGTTCATCAGCTGGGGTCAGCAATCCATCTAGAAGGAACTATGATCACAAACCTCCATGGTCCAATTGATAGGTCTTGGTCAACCATTGACTAAGAAAGCTCATCCTAACATAAGAGAAAAGCATGCTAAAGTGGAATGTGCCAGGCCAAAAGGCAGGTAGTCAAGAAAAGTATCACCACCAACCTGAAAACTATGGATCAATGCAACTTCTCCTTGTAAAGCGAGAGAAGGAAAAAAAATTATAGTTTTATATTCTAATCTGCACACTCTTTGGTATTAAATATATTGTTGTATCAATTATCTGGAGCAATAAGAGCTAAGTAATACAATCTAGAATGCAATCTGGAAAAAAAGTATACTATCCCTTCAACAAAGTCTTTATCTTGTAATATAAAGATAAAAATATCTAAAACACTGATAAGACCAGTTGTTTTATATGGCTCTGAAACTAAGAGCACAACTAAAAGAGATGAAGTATTATTACAAACTTTCAAAAACAGTCTTAAGACGAATCTTTGGACCCATCAAAGATGCAAAAGCATGTAATGGAGAGTCAGAAGCAACAACATTATCTGTTTAAATCACCACTGATCACTGGCATCATGAGAGCTAATAGACTGAAATGGCTGGAGCGTATTGAGAGAATGTCAGATGATATAAAGGTAAAAACTGTTCACACAAGGGAGATGAATAGTCATAGACCACGAGGCAGACCAAGAGTTTATGGAGAGATAATATCCAGACACACCTAAAACACTTGGTTTCACCAACTGGGAAAAGAAGGCCAACCAGAGAGATAAATGGAGGTGGGTGATATCTGCAGTAATGAACATCAAAGGCTCAGAATGCTAAAGAAGAAGAAAAAGAAGAAGAAGAAGAGTTGAGTATATTTATAAACTAAGATACTTCAGTAACACTGACCCTCTGTAGAAGTGAGTGCAAACACATCAGATCCTGCTTTCTTCCCCACTCCAGCCTGGGCAGACTTTGGGAACCAGTGCATGCTGGTAGGGAAGCAATCTTTAGGCAACTCTAAGAGTACCGAAGTCTCATTGTTCATCAAGTTCCACTTGATGATGCGGTGGTCATCTGCTGCGGAGTACACCTCATCTGGCGATGTCCAGCCTACACAGCTGACCAGCTCGGAATGTACATCATAGTTAAGGAACAAACGTAATTACCAAAACAATAAAACTGAAATAAAAGGAGATCAATTTCTAATGATGTCATATCTTTCTTCTTCTCCTCAGAGTTCACTGGCTGTAAACTGCAGCTGAAAGTTCTGGTCTAGTTCCAAAACTTGAGTTTTTTGTGTATACCCAATTTAAAGATCTGGCTTATCGGAATCCTCCTGTTTGTTTCTCACCTCCCAGGTACATGCACTCTGACTTCAAAGAAAACAACCCTGATTTTACAACATGCTTGCTAGGGAAGCAGTGGGTCTATTCTTATTTTCTCCTAAATAAAGCCCCGGACCCGTTGTGCTGATGATGTCATGTGATTAGGATATTTGGCTCTCCTCCAAACTTCTACCCCGGCCTCAGTCCTATTAAGAATATGCAAACTTCCGGCGAGGAACAAATCACAGCAAAACTAGGATAACCTGACAATTTCAAGAGACGCAACACTGCAAATGATAGTAGCAGACAATGTGTTTCTGCATTCGATACTAGCGACCACTGACAATTTCGAGACACGCAACATTACAGATGATAAAAGCGACATGACGGGGAGACCACGCACTCCATCACAGATTAGCGTCATTGTTGTCTTCAAACTTTTCGGCATGCGCAAAATGAGGTTACACTCACCACCGACAGTGTCCCCCGCGCCTCTACGCGCGGCGCGGATGGAGGAGCTAAACTAGATGCCTGGGACTCACGAGCAAATAAACTGGAGGAAGTTGAAGGAGATGCGGTAGCTGCTGCTCGTGAGTCCCAGCCATCTAGTTTAGTCCCCCATCCCCATAGCCCGCCTACGCACGGCGCGGGGGATATGGTCGGCGGTGAGGCATAGTCACAGAAACAGGTCCGCAATTAACATATCGCTGAGACCCTGTTAGAGCAATTGTTTCCTTATATGGAGCCGATCCTAGTTTTGCAGCTCGGCAGGAAGTCTGAGAAGTCCGCATTATTCATAGGATTGAGGCCCTGTTAGGATATTTGTTTGGCCGTCATAATGCCGGGGTAGAAGTTCGGAGGAGAGCTGAATATTTGTATCTTTGTTTCTTTTAGATCTTTTCCTATCATGTTTGACAGTTGTCGCTACATTTTGAAGTCTATTTCTCCTGATAAAAATATAAAGGTAATCCCATAGCCCACACAGTCGCTGACGTGTAAAATAAAAGGCCTGAACTCGTGGCCTGTGGGCCAAATCTGGCACACAGAGGTCTTGAAGCGGCCCGCAGATTACTGCCAATTGCATGGTATATGGTATTAATGATTTTTTTAAAGCTGGGGCTTGTGCCTCTGGCCCGTGACAATCCCCATTTGCAAAATATTGGCCCCTGAGTAAAGTTAGCTGAAAATCACTGTTATAGGCTAAGATGAATGAAGTAGAGTTCACTTCCTCATCCCCTTTTCTTAGCAGTGCAAAGAGAATTTATGAAAACTAAATTAGTCGTTAGATTCAATCTGTGTATGTCACTAATAAATAGTAGTTATTAGTGTACTTTAATTTTATTTTATAATTAACAATAATGTATTTATAATCAATAGTTATTTAATAACTTTAATTGTTAATTAATAACTGTAATAGTTAATCCTATACTTATTCTTATTATTAATTCATTTGGCTCTCCCCCCAACTTCAACCTGATATTATGGCGGCCATAAAATATCCTTACGGGCTCAGTTCTATTAAAAATATGCCGGCTCCGTATAACGAAACAAATGCTCTAACAGGGTCTCAGCCATATGTTACTTGCGGGCCTGTTTCTGTAACTATGCCTCACCGCCGACAGTATCCCCCACGCCGCTACGCGTGGCTCGGACGGGGACTAAACTAGATGGCTGGGACTCACGAGCAGCAGCTGCCGCATCTCCTGCAACTTCCTACGATGAATTTTCTCGTGAGTCCCAGGCACCTAGTTAAGCTCCCCATCCGCGCCGCCCGTAGCGGCGTGGGGGATACTCTCGGCGGTGAGTTTAATCGCGTTTTGCGCATGCTATTATTATCTGCTACTATCGTCTGCAGAAACACTCGAAATTGTCAACGGTCGTTATTATCGTCTGCTACTATCGTCTGCACTGTTGCGTCTCTTGAAATTGTCAAGTAATCCTAGTTTTGTCGCGATTTGTTCCTTGGCAGAAAGTCTGCATTTTACATATGCCTGCGCCCTGTAAGGATATTTGGCTATCCTCCGAATAACGGGCAGGAAAGATGGCAGCCGCAAAATATCCTGATGAGCCACAGTCACGTGTCAGTTGCGCACTAGCGGTCACGAGCACATCGCGGGAAAACTAGGATTAGTGTCTGTCGACAATTTTGAGAAACGGAACAAACCGCCGAGTTACACTCACCGCCGAGAGTGTCCCAAGCGCCACTACGCGGATGGGGCTAAACTAGATGGCTGGGACCCACGAGCAGCAGCTTTGCTCGTGAGTCCTAGCCATCTAGTTTAGCCCCAATCCACACCGGGTGAGCAGTGTGGCTGGCCACTCTCGGCCGTGGCGGTAGTCGTCGGAAAAACGCAAATTGAGTCACCGCAAGTGCACCATTGACACGTGACTGAGGCCCCGTTTTTGGCCGCCATTGACCGGCATCTTTTGTGCTCATTATTCAGAGGATAGCCGGTTTGTAGATGCTACTAAAGAAAAAGCTGCGTTAGTGCCGTTAGCAATCTGGTACGAGCTGTGCCTTGTTTCGATCGTACTTAGCCGAGTTTCAATGGCTTAACAGCCACAAACAGCAGATTTCCTGGCACTATTTACAACTTCTGTGCCATAATTTCCAGATATAAAGGCATAAAATTATCGGTAACTAGTCGATTTGATATAAAAAAAATTTCGTTTCTTATTAGTTTTGACTTCAATTTTTGAATGTTTACAACACATGTCCCATGACTGCGGCTCGAAATGATATTTTTCGGCCGCCATCTTTTCTGCCCGTTATTCGGAGGATAGCCGGATATTTTATGGCCGCCATAATATCGGGTTGAAGTTCGGAGGAAAGCAATTCATTTTAATAAATTTCAAATAATTAATTATTGTTAATTAAACAACATTTTCTCGAGTAAACGTTGAGCGGCTATGGGGTTTAAAAAATAAGGATATGTTTCGGCTCTTTCTGAAGTGTAGTCTTGAAACGCATTTCGCTAACAAGATACACAATTCTCTTGGCAACTCAAACAAGTGAAACCAGAGCTCTCAAGTTACAATAATGATGTCCATGGTCATGAAACAGAAGAAAACTAACTTGCAGCTATTATCAGACGGTGTGCCCCAGTTACGCATGCGCGAGCGGTAGCTATGCGTTGGTAACAAAAACAAACCAAAACCTGATCCAACTTTTTAACTTCACAACACCGGTCAACAACCAAAATGGTCCAGAAATCACAGTAGCTGAACTAATTTTGGTGGGCTGTGTCTCGATGCATGGCGTCAGATTCGAGTGCTGGAGGTCCCGGGTTCAGGCCCCTGTGAAGACTGTGATTTTTCACAATTTTGAAATAAGAATCGACATCACAGCACTCGGGACACTTCCAAAAGCGCTCCTTTCCCATCTTCTGCAGCAAGCGAAGAACTCCAGTTTCGAAAGGACCAATAACTGTTTGATTGTACCTTTCCCCCTAAGTGTTCAGCGTGGGCCAGAACCCTTGGTAACTACCCCACATCGCCATTCTCCTAGGATCGTAATGATCTATGTGTGCTTCCGCACTGTTCACTCGCTCCCTAAGGGTCGTCACAATATCTAGCTTTGCTATACATAAATTCACTACCAAGTAGTACAGAAGTGGCCAGTCTATCTGCCTGCTCATTTCCCGGCACTGCACAATGTCTAACTGGATTCTCCGCTTAAGCATTCTTTTTTTTTAGTCTGTGACCCTTAGCTCTACCCAAGGCTTCTTGCAGGAGGTGCTTCATGTCTGCAGCTACTCTGAGATATGACTTTGAGCCAATCTGCAATAGTAGGCAGTGCAAGTATATATCGCAAACATACTACCGGGATATCTCTTGTACATCCCAGAATTTTCTCATATCTTTATTTTGTATGCGTTTAAGTTTCAGCATGCTGACTCTTTAACATGGTAAGCATTCCAAGCCCATAATCTATCACCGACAGCATCACATGCTGACACATTGTGAACAGCATTCTTTGTTCCATGTCCATTACTTCCATAATCTTGAGACCATTGAGTCATTTTTGGCATTTCCCCACAGCTGCCTCCACATGATCCATATAGGACTGGCTTCTATCGAAAGTGATACCCAGGTACCTCAGTTTGCTTTCTCTTTTGATGTTACTGTAATTAATTGTCAGACTTAGAATATCATGTACCATTCTTTTGTCCAAAGAGCACATCAAAACAGCCGCCTTTTCTGAGTTGATGACAGCACCCCTTGAGCACGCTAGTCAGTCAGTTGCCTGTAGGTCTTGGGCTATCCGTCGTCTATCACTCCCTTTGCCTAAATTAAATAACATCATCTGCAAAGGTCAATATCCTGCCAAAACTTGGTGATTCAAGTTCTGCAGTCTTGCTTGTATATACATTAAAGAGCACAGGCGAAATTGCAGAACTCCAGGGCAGTCCCAGGGCGATATTACTTTGTTCTGAAGTCCATGTACTCAGGCGAAGGGCAATCATACGTGAATGCATAACAGCTTCTATCCAGTTCACAAGCCACAAACAAACTCAAAATATCACATATAACTCTATTGTTGGTATCCTCGAGATCTAGTGCTGTCACAACGGTCTCCTGTCTGTTCTAGAAGCCCTCATAAATATCCATAGCAAAAGTAACTGCATTTGCCCTGGTGTCTTTCCGTGGCCGGTAACTACCCGGACCTTTTGGCAGGAGAGCTTCCCTTTCCAAAAACATTTGTAGTATCTTCTATAGCACCTTGCCAAAAGTATTTTGTAGGGTGATAATCCTGAAACCACTGAGCCTGGAATGGTCTTTGCCTGGTTTTTAAAGTGGGATTAGGTATCTGTGTACCCAATCCTGGGGCACTAAAGCTGTCCTAACGCTCTGGTTGAAGTCAAAAGCCATCTCCCTCAAGTTATCATCATTCATGCTTTCTATGTCTGTATACTTGACTCCGTCTGGCCCCGGCGCAGTCTTGTGCTTTTTGTAATATACATTTTATACCCCCACCCCTCAACTTCCCCTCCCCACATGATATCCTGAAAATAATTTTCATTTATAGTATTAGACAGATTATCTCTAACTGAATTTCTGAGCTCTATATCATTAGAATCAGTCTGGGTTATACATCATTCTCTTCAAAAGTGCTTCCCCTTTCTCTTTTTCTGTTGTCATTGGCATACAATTATCAGTGTGTATAATGCCTGTTGCAGATCCTTCCTTTGCATCTGTCTGTGAAGTTTCCAAAACCTACCCATATATGCGCTTCCTCAAGGCTATACAGATTCCTAAAGTTTAAGTCAACATTGTCGCATATGCTCCATCAATACTTGACTGTGCAAGGGATTGGTTACTGACGGTGGACCTGCCTGGTTTCGAAAAATGCCCCAAATAAATCCGAAATATCTGCTTAAGTCCAGACATGGTCCTGCACTCTGCGAAAAAACACCAGCTTATCATGATAGAGCTTAGCTTGCCGTGCAAATCGCAGAAAGAGGAAAACCCCTTGTAAAAGCTAGAAAAGTACTGTGAATTTGTGGCCAGTCTGGGGAGAACTGAAGCGTACACAGTGAAACTCTTTGTTGTCAAGGTAGGAGCAAGAGGGCTTATCTCCTCTTCTACACACAATGTACTAAAGCATCTGGGCTTGTAAGAAAAAGAGCGAAAACGGGCGCTAAAACAACTGACGAAGCCGCTGAAAGAGCTTCGAACTGACTGGGGACACCACGGAGCGTCGTGGGAGATTGGCCTCGGTAGACTGGTCCAAGCCCCTAATGGAAAGGAACTTTTCATTTTTAAAAGCCAAAGTGTCCGAGTAATGTCTACCAATGTCTCTCTGCTAATTTCCAAAGTCTAACATCTGTCCGATGACGCAAACGTGAATCGCCACTCTAGTCCTGAAGGTAGGCAGTTAATTTGCTACCGCAGTGACGATATATAACACCAAACCTCACAATACCTGTTGCCACTATTTCGTCTTGTCCGATGACCGATAAGCGCAGCAGGCCTGGAAATCATGACCCATGTGGGACCACCCTTAGAGATTGTCTAGGAGGTTAATAGGCGTCTGCTCCCATGTAGAGTTCTTCTTACATTACTATATCTGACTATCGTGGGTGTCCTCAAGATCAAAAGGCTGCCACTAACGTCTTCTTTCTTTTTCTGGAACCCATATTAAACAGTAAAAGCAATAATGGCTGCATCTGACCATGTTACTTTTCTTGGCCGGCAACTGCCCAGACGTCTTAGCAGGAGCTCTTCCCTTAATTCAAAATATGTGCGGTTTAACGGCAATAATCTTCTTTTAGTCCTCTGTCAAAAGTTTCTGTAGAGTTTTTGGCACTGTAGAGTTATCTGAGCGGTTACTTAAACTGGTAACCAGTTCTTTATGTGTGATTTTTATTTCAAAACATTTTCCTCGTGCTTATATGCTTAATTTCATTACGCTTACCTGCTAAATTTAACATGTTCCATGCTAAATTAAATGGTAAGTGTATCAGTTTCAGGACAGTGAATTGCCTTCTATAGTCCTGACTAACTTACAATGAAAATTTTCATCAGCTGGCTTCATTCCAACAAAAATTATATGAAAATGCTATGAATGATAAATTAATTTCATTTCGTTGTGTGATTGTAAAAGAGACTCAGTTTTACTTCTGCCATTATCTTTTATTTTTTATTTAAATAGTAGAGGAATATCAGTATTATCCAGAAGCTAAGATACTATCGGCGGTACTGCTAAACAAGCTAAAAACCCTGGATCAAATTATAAGAAAATTGAAACAAGAGTCTAGGAGAATCTACAAGAATACTTGGATATGCAGATGACATAAATGTCGTTGGAGAAAATGAACTAGAGACTGTTAAAACACTGAATCTCTTAAAACAATCGGCTCACAAAATGGGAGCACTGTCATAATCACATTGACCCTGGAATGTAGACTGGCGAGCAGGTGCCAGGGAGGTGGAAATTCAGCAATTAATTCAAGATAATGCTCGCTCAGAGGATTTGATTATTTACACAGACGGTTCAGTGTCAAGAGGCAAAAGAAGTGCTTGAGGTTTCTTAGCAAAAGTAAATGGTCGACGTTTGGTGCAGGAGAGACTAGCACATGATACAACATCCAGCTTAAGAATAGAGGTGTAGGCGGTGACTGCAGCTTTCCGCTGGCTAGAGAACACGACACACACACATCGTGATTGTAACTGACTCAGAAAGCATGCCGAGGAAGGTCAGGACAGGCATGCTTCGTGCAGAGTGGCATGCTTCATTGCGGAGGACACGGGTGAGGAGTATTGTCTGGATTTTTTTTTTAACGGGAAACGCCGGTGTGTTGGGAAATGAACAGGCGGACATATCGGCTCGCCCTACACAACTTCGTAAAATACTGATGCACGATAAGGCAGACGTGGTTAGTGTCTTGTGGAAGAGCGTGTACAGTTCGGAGGAGCAGATGGATCACCACAGTCTGGTGAGATTGATACAGCAGGGAGTGACAAGGGGTTCTGGCAGATGCTCGAGGCTCAGGGGAGAAGCAAGATGGAATCAGAATGCTACTGGCACTATTAGTATCGGAACTCTGCACTGGCTGCTGAAGATAGGGACAGAGCGCTTATGGGATATCGGTTATTGAATCAACTCAACTCAACTCGTATTACAGCCTTCACTTCTTTAAAAAAAAAAGCTTTCCGGATTCGTTGTTCTGATGGTTAGCTTCCATATCCATGACAATGTTGTTCACGTATCTTCGCTTTTGGTGCCTATCTACTTTTGTAGCTTCTTTACATGCTATTGTATATTTTTCTTAATTTTATATGTTACTAGTATCATTAAGCCAAATCTGCCTGGCATGTTTTTTTTCTTACTGGCTGCTTTTTCACATTTTGTATCAAACCATTTCTTCTTTCTGTTTATGATGGACACACCAAGGCATTCTTCTGCAGTGGTTTGCAATATATTCCTAATATCCTTCCAAGTTTGGTCAACATCTTTCTCTGTAAAATTTCAATTTTATATTTTAATTCATCTGCAAATTTCTCTGATATGGATATTTCTTGTAATCTTTCTCTTTTGTATTCTGAATGTGATCTGTGTAACTTGGCGTAGAAGGATCTGTTTAGCTTGATTTTTAATTTTGCATCAAGTAGTGGTCCTTAGTCGGCTCTCTGGCTAAGTCGATGCGAACGCTTCTTAATGCCGGGGTACTGGGTTCGATCCCAGCTGCGGGCCATACACCTTGCGTTGGTTTCGACAGTGGTATCAGAGAGCCGACCGTCCAGAGCAATGGCAAACTACTGGACTTAATTTGCCTAGTGAAACCACACAACAGCCTGGGGCTGATGGGGTTGGTTCTGCAACGTCCTGTAAAGGATACGCAACTAACCTAGTGGTCATTATGACACTCAGTTCCCCAGTAGCTTATAACCTGTTGTATGTTCAATGCATTTCTACTATTTATTAAAATGTGATTTATTTGATTATAAGTTATCTTGTTACATTATTGCCAGGTTTGTTTATTTATATCTTTTCTTTAAACTTTGTTGCTGCTTATCTGTAGACCTTTCGCTACGGCGAGATTGATTAATCTCCATCCATTATCTTTTGAATTAGTATGGAGGCTTTCCGTGCCTACAACATTTTTATAGGTGTTTTCTCTTCCTACTTTTGCACTGAAATCTCCTAAGATAAAAATATGTCTCGTTTTTGAGCGTTATATTCGATATTCTCAAGGATAATCTTTATAGAAATCTTCTTCAATATCATCTTCTTTATCTTCAGTGGGTGCATGCACATTAATCATCGTTTAATTTTTTTATTTTCCTTTTATTCGTATCTTACTGATCCTATCACTGTCAGCTTCAAAATTTATAATGCTTTGCCACAACTTTTTCTTTATAACAAATCCTGTCCCTAGTTCATGTTTGTTTTGAGTGTTTCCTCCATACACTATAAGCATTCTATTTTCCTCTATGGTACCCTATCCTGGCCATCTTATTTCATTATATGTTATATCCATTTTGTATTTTGATAATTCACGGGTCATTTCTTCAGCTGCTTCAGGTCTATAAATGGTTCATACATTTCATGTTCCGAATCTCAAAAGTCCTTTAACGTTCTAGGACCATATCCAGGACAAAACATGTATTCTACTATTCTGGGCTGCGCCCTAGTAAAGTTTTTATATAACCCGGCAAAATAAAAATATGACGAGAAGAAATGTTTTCATTGGATACAAAATGGCATCCTTCTGTTAGAAAACACTTAGGAATGCAACTTTCCCCGTTTACTAATACTATGGCTGCTCCTCACTAGTAGCAAACAGTAAATATATTATTTGAACGGTAATATGTCATTCGACATTAAAGCCGCAAATACATGGATTTTCGTTCAGTTTTTAGACTTTCGCGCTGTCATTAATTGTCAGAACCCAGTAGAGTAGAAGCCATTAAAAAAAAAAACATAGTTATTAAATTTGGCTCTCCTTAAAACTACGGCCACATATTATGGAGTACGCCGGAGTTCAGTCCCCTGGCCGCATTGCAATTACGGAGTGGACAAGAGGGAACGACACAAATGACGTAATTACTGTGTGCTGGTGATAGATGCACTGCTGTCATAACAGGGTTAAGGGTAGGGTAGGGTTAGGAGTGGCCGTAGTTTTAAGGAGTACCAATACCCTAACCCTAACCTCAACCCACACCCTGACTCTAACCCTATTATGACAGCAGTTTATCTATCGCCAACACACAGTAATTGCCTCATCGGTTCACGCTGTCTATCGCCAACACACAGTAATTACGTCATTTGTGTCGTTCCCTCTTGTCCACTCCGTAATTGCAATGCGGCCAGGGGACTGAACTTTGGCGTACTCCATAATAAGTGGCCGTATTTTTAAGGAGAGCCATTAATTTAATAAAATGTAAACTCAGTCTACGGATGCTAGTGAAACTTTCCCAGCTGGATAGATATTAAAATATCAAGTCCAGTGATACCTCAATGAGCCTGTAGGTCAATTATAAGCAGAGTTATTAGTATTTTGGTGGCAGCTACCATAGACTAATTATAGTGCAAACTGACAAAAGATGTATTCTGGGCTGCCTCCCAGTAAAATATAGTGCAGGGTGAAAATGACTAAATGTTTGCATTTTATGACAATAACTATTTTGTTTCCTAATGAATCCCTTAGCGACTATCTAGTACTGCAATCGGGGCAGTGATGCCTATCTGTATATGCATATCCCAAATACATGTGAGGCATTATTACTCTAATTAACATTTGAAAATGGCCACCAGCTCAGTAGTTTTAAATAAGCACTTTATAAAATAACGATTAAAAGAGGATGAAAGTAAACTTAATTGCACTTTGTTTTACCTCACACGGCTCAATCTGTCTCTTCACAATGGCTAGCCACATCTCAAGAACGATGCACAACCTCCATAGCTCTAGCAACAATTCCCAGAGAGCTTACAGCTTTCAGACCATTAGGCAGATGTTTTTATCCTATTTTATACTGCAACTATTACAGTGCTTACTTTGTAAGAACTCAAAAAATCTGTCATGCTTACTGTGTCAAGATCCATACCTTTATTTTACAACAGAGTAGTGACCCCAGAGTTGTTTTGAAATTTCCTGCCCTGTTCCACTTACTGACAAACATACATCACCATACCAAACCTTCATATGCTGATGAATTTCAGTAGGTTTCATCCCTGCATTGATTTGAAAAAAAAAAAAAAAAAGAACGCTGCTTTTTAAAAATTTTTAGGCATCATTTTGTTTTTCAGCGCTAGTGTAATAGACTGAATACAGGCACTTTTTTAACTCACTTTGCGGTTAGCACTTGCACGTTTTTATTGTCTAGAAAAGAAATGGAGCCTCACTGCAAAATATTCTCAAAGGCAGTAGTGGATGCACTGCAGCTCATTGTTTTGGAGGCAGCAGAAAGTTTCTGTTTTTTTTTACCCATTTAAAATGTCTCTTTTTTGTTTTGTTTTCGTTTCAGCAAGGTTTGTGTGAACTTAAACCTCTTATTGTATTGAGATCTGTGCTTTCACAGGATGGACATTCAGACGGCTGTCATGATAATTACAAAAGCATGGATTAGATACAGAGACAAGCAAATGTTCAGGCTTCTCAAACATTCAGTGTGTGCTGCGGTAAGTCATTTACAGTTTATGATGTGCAAATCACTATAATAATGAAATAAAAGTATGCAGTATCTGAAGCCATTTCGAAAAGTTTTTACTTGAACTTTGCCAATGAAAAAAATTAAGCACAGATGCAGTCCTTCCACTAAATAGGGTGCAGGTTACCATCATGCACACAGATGCCTTTTTCCAGTCACAAAGAGCATCAATCACTGGCAGTCAGCTGGTGGGTGAGTTAGTCCATCACTGGGAGTCAGCTGGTGGGTGAGTTAGTCCATCACTGACAGACAGCTGGTGGGTGAGTTAGTCCATCACTGGTAGTCAGCTGGTGGGTGAGTTAGTCCATCACTGACAGACAGCTGGTGGGTGAGTTAGTCCATCACTGACAGACAGCTGGTGGGTGAGTTAGTCCATCACTGGTAGACATCTGGTGGGTGAGTTAGTCCAACACTGGTAGACAGCTGGTGGGTAAGTTAGTCCAACACTGGTAGACAGCTGGTGGGTGATTTAGTCCATCACTGGTAGTCAGCTGGTGGGTGAGTTAGTCCATCACTGGTAGACAGCTGGTGGGTGAGTTAGTCCATCACTGGTAGTCAGCTGGTGGGTGAGTTAGTCCATCACTGACAGACAGCTGGTGGGTGAGTTAGTCCATCACTGACAGACAGCTGGTGGGTGAGTTAGTCCATCACTGGTAGTCAGCTGGTGGGTGAGTTAGTCCATCACTGACAGACAGCTGGTGGGTGAGTTAGTCCATCACTGGTAGTCAGCTGGTGGGTGAGTTAGTCCATCACTGGTAGTCAGCTGGTGGGTGAGTTAGTCCAACACTGACAGACAGCTGGTGGGTGAGTTAGTCCATCACTGGTAGTCAGCTGGTGGGTGAGTTAGTCCATCACTGACAGACAGCTGGTGGGTGAGTTAGTCCATCACTGACAGACAGCTGGTGGGTGAGTTAGTCCATCACTGGTAGACATCTGGTGGGTGAGTTAGTCCATCACTGGTAGACAGCTGGTGGGTGAGTTAGTCCAACACTGGTAGACAGCTGGTGGGTGATTTAGTCCATCACTGATAGTCAGCTGGTGGGTGAGTTAGTCCATCACTGGTAGACAGCTGGTGGGTGAGTTAGTCCATCACTGGTAGTCAGCTGGTGGGTGAGTTAGTCCATCATTGGCAGTCAGCTGGTGGGTGAGTTAGTCCATCATTGGCAGTCAGCTGGTGGGTGAGTTAGTCCATCATTGGCAGTCAGCTGGTGGGTAAGTTAGTCCATCATTGGCAGTCAGCTGGTGGGTGAGTTAGTCTATCACTGGCAGTCAGCTGGTGGGTGAGTTAGTCCATCACTGGTAGACAGCTGGTGGGTGAGTTAGTCCATCATTGGCAGTCAGCTGGTGGGTGAGTTAGTCCATCACTGGGAGTCAGCTGGTGGGTGAGTTAGTCCATCACTGGGAGTCAGCTGGTGGGTGAGTTAGTCCATCATTGGCAGTCAGCTGGTGGGTGAGTTAGTCTATCTCTAGCAGTCAGCTGGTGGATGAGTTAGTCCATCACTGACAGACAGCTGGTGGGTGAGTTAGTCCATCACTGGCAGTCAGCTGGTGGGTGAGTTAGTCCATCACTGGCAGTCAGCTGGTGGGTGAGTTAGTCCATCATTGGCAGTCAGCTGGTGGGTGAGTTAGTCCATCACTGGTAGACAGCTGGTTGGTAAGTTAGTCAATCACTGGGAGTCAGCGGTGGGTGAGTTAGTCCATCACTGGTAGTCAGCGGTGGGTGAGTTAGTCCATCACTGGTAGTCAGCGGTGGGTGAGTTAGTCCATCACTGGTAGTCAGCGATGGGTGAGTTAGTCCATCACTTGTAGTCAGCGGTGGGTGAGTTAGTCCATCACTGGTAGTCAGCGATAGGTGAGTTAGTCCATCACTGGTAGTCAGCGGTGGGTGAGTTAGTCCATCACTGGCAGTCAGCTGGTGGATTTAGTCCATCACTGACAGTCAGCTAGTGGGTGAGTTAGTCCATCACTGGTAGTCAGTGGTGGTTGAGTTAGTCCATCACTGGTAGTCAGCTGTGGGTGAGTTAGTCCATCACTGGTAGTCAGCTGTGGGTGAGTTAGTCCATCACTGGTAGTCAGCTGGTGGGTGAGTTAGTCCATCACTGGTAGTCAGCTGGTGGGTGAGTTAGTCCATCACTGGTAGTCAGCTGGTGGGTGAGTTAGTCCATCACTGGTAGTCAGCTGGTGGGTGAGTTAGTCCATCACTGGGAGTCAGCTGGTGGGTGAGTTAGTCCATCACTGGTAGTCAGCTGGTGGGTGAGTTAGTCCATCACTGGTAGTCAGCTGGTGGGTGAGTTAGTCCATCACTGGCAGTCAGCTGGTGGGTGAGTTAGTCCATCACTGGTAGTCAGCTGGTGGGTGAGTTAGTCCATCACTGGTAGTCAGCTGGTGGGTGAGTTAGTCCATCACTGGTAGTCAGCTGGTGGGTGAGTTAGTCCATCACTGGTAGTCAGCTGGTGGGTGAGTTAGTCCATCACTGGTAGTCAGCGGTGGGTGAGTTAGTCCATCACTGGTAGTCAGCGATGGGTGAGTTAGTCCATCACTGACAGTCAGCGGTGGGGGAGTTAGTCCATCACTGGTAGTCAGCGGTGGGTGAGTTAGTCCATCACTGGTAGTCAGCGGTGGGTGAGTTAGTCCATCACTGGTAGTCAGCGGTGGGTGAGTTAGTCCATCACTGGTAGTCAGCTGGTGGGTGAGTTAGTCCATCACTGGTAGTCAGCGGTGGGAGAGTTAGTCCATCACTGGTAGTCAGCGGTGGGTGAGTTAGTCCATCACTGGTAGTCAGCTGGTGGTTGAGTTAGTCCATCACTGGTAGTCAGCTGGTGGGTGAGTTAGTCCATCACTGGCAGTCAGCTGGTGGGTGAGTTAGTCCATCACTGGTCAGTCAGCTGTGGGTGAGTTAGTCTAGTTAATGGCCACCAAGTTTTAATTTTTTAATGGGATAATGGATCAGCTTGAGCATCTGTTTTACATCAAATTTTTCCAAAACCTTGACAATTTTCAAAGAGGTAATCAGCAGAAAAATCAACAGGCTTTTGTTGGCTGTTTGTGATTTTACTAGGACATTTTATATTCAGTAGTTTGCTGTTGCTTCCTGAATGACACTCCATACCATTGTCAAAATTATTTTGCAGAGCAGTCTACTGCCAAACCATCTGCAGCTCAATTGAATCAGGTATTTTAGAATTATGAACTGCATAACCCTTAAGCCACAGATGACGACTTTATGAGGAGCGGTACAGTTCTTTAAAGATTTTTACACATTAGTGAAGGGCGGACGACAATGTGTTAGGCCTTCAATAAACTAAAATGATAAGGTCATCGACCAGATGTGGACTTTGGTCATGTAGAGCCCTTATGTCACCATTTGAGAACTTACAGATAGACATGAACTCAGTGCATTCATTTTGATAGAGGATTTGTCTTGTGGTGAGTGTGAAATCTGTGTCACTGTTTATGATGGAGTAGAAGCGACTTCATCTAGAAGCCATATACGGCTTGCTAGACTATGCAGTCACACCAACTTCCTTAACACCATGTTTACTGGTGAGAAACTATGGCTTTACAGGTATGATACAAAAACTAAGATGTTTTCATCAGAGTGGAAACATTTATCATTTGTGAGGTAACTCAAATTTAGCAAGGTGTTTGCTCTCAATTTTGAAATTATTTTGACAATTTTCTCTTACTCCTTGAGGTAGTGTATCACATAAACACACCACAAGGCCAATCATTACAAATAATAATATCTCTCCATCATCTTTTTGGTCTGCCTCATGGTCTACGACCAATCAGCTCCCTTGTGTATATAGTTTTTACCTCTCTGCCATCTGACATTCTCTCAGTATGCCCCAGCCATTTCAGTCTATTAGCTCTCATGATGCCAATGTTCAATGGTATTTAAATAGGTTGTGAATTTGGTTGTTGCTTCTCACTCCCCATTCCCTGCCATTTGCATCATTGTGGGTCAAAAGATTCGTTGTAAGACTCTGTTTTTGAAAATTTATAATAAGGCTTCATCTCTTTTAGTTGTGCTCCAAGTTTCATAGCCATATAAAATGACTGGTCTTAACGATTTATATATTTTGATCTTGGTTTTAGATAGAGATTTTGACTTTAGCAGATGCTGAAGGGCATAGTATAGTTTATTTCCAGATTTTATTCTAGATTGTATTCTATATTGCACTCAGTTTTACTAATTTGTTTCTGTTCGTTTGATTGTCATATTATCGACTTGTATGGGGCCAGAGTTTATATCCTTTCTTTGTCTTGTTATTATCATGTATTTTATCTTATCTTGGTTGATGACTAGTCCCATTTTGTGAGCTGCTTCCTTCAAGAGAGTCGGTGTTTTTACAGTCTCTAGTTCATTTTCTCCAACGATATTAGTCATCTGCACATCCAAGTATTCTTGTAGATTCTCCTATAGTACACTCTTGTTTCACTTTCCTTATAATTTTCTCCAGGGCCAAGTTGAAAAAAAGTGGGGACAGAGCATCACCCTGCTTTAGTCCAGATATTATTTGAAAATGGTCTGAACTTCTGCCTTTATATGTTTCTATATTATAAGTGTTTTCCATACATAGTTTGATCATGGTAATTAACTTCTTTGGTATCCCAAAGTCATTCATAGCATTCCATATACTATTTCTACACAATCATAAAAGAATTTGAGTTTCAAATTTTCAGAGACCTTGATGTATTTTTATTGATGACAGGTCTTTTACATTTTGAATAGACCTCATTCAATAATTTTTCCATTGGAAAATATAAAATATAATTCTTATTATTTGCAGGAAAACTCATTGTCTTTTGAAATTCTGCGTAAAGTGTCACCTCTTGAGGCAAAGATGTTATGTGATAAAAGTCAGCAGGTCAAAGTACGATTCAGGTACTTGTTTTCATGTTAGTACACAATGTAGTACATCATAACTGCCTGACCAGTGCATTTTTATTTCTTTTGTCCAACTGTATTTTCCAATGTAACTGAATGTCAGTGTGAACTGTGTTCAGTTAAGTACCGACATTATAGCACTTGGGACATTAATACAAGCGTTCCACTCTGCCTGGATTATACCCGTCTCCATCTTTCTCAACATGCTCTTTGAGCCAGTTACAATCACGACATGTGCAT